TATTTGCCAGGAGGTGATGGGACCAGTGGCCATGATCTTAGTTTTTTTGATGTAGAGCTTCAGACCATTTTTGCGCTCTCCTCTTTTACCCTCATTAAGAGGTTCTTTAATTCCTCCTCACTTTTCTGCCAACAGCTTAAAAACCAATTGTAAAACTAGCCACTTTATACTATTGCTCTTAAACAAAGAGGCTTTCATGACTGTGAACAACCAAGCTAAGTAAGTCTGCTGTGTGGATTAATGAATCTATCTGAACATCTGAGGCGATGAAAATGCTCACTTGGAAACACCAATACCAGCTCCATCACACCAGCAATCAGTGTATAGTTATGTTGATGTCAAAAACAACACCACCACCCAACCCTACTGAAACTGTTCACATCTATATACTCTTATTAGGCACTGTGCAAATGTTAAGACAGACATTTTAAAAGTTATTTGGGACTACAACCCCCAGAAACCTTTAGTCAGCATGCCCACTGAGTATGTTATAATAATACCCTATTTCCCCGAAAATAAGACCTAACATGATTTTTCAGGATGCATGTAATATAAGCCCTGCCCCCCAAAATAAGCCCCAGTTAAGTGAAGCCCCACCCTCCACCATCGTGCAACATTGTGCAGCGACCAGAAGAAGATGACATGGCTGTAAAATAAAACATCCCCTCAAAATAAGCCCTAATGTGTTTTTTGGAGCAAAAATTAATATAAGACCCTGTTTCGGGAAAACACGGTACAAAATGACAATTTCAAGCTCTGAGGTATTCACACACACACACACAGGATCTGACACCCCAGGAATTGCAGATGGTAAATTCAATTAGCAAGTTACAAGAGCTGTATAACAGTGGTCTTTCCAAATCTAGCCATGTAGTGCTGCATTAATAACTTTGTTTATAGCCATCAAATGGAGAAACCAGCTAAAAATAGGATAATTAAGGGCTATCTTTATTCTTCCTAATTCTCACCAAAGGGCACTGTGTGAGGAATGGCTGAAATTTATGAGGTTAATGCAGTGAGGACTCAATTATACACCACAGGAGCTGCTTGAATAAGAGGGAATTCCTGAAGTGCTGAAAATACTGGATTGTCACAGCAGGGGCTTTTCACCTCTTTTCACCTGCAGTTTGCAAATGACCTTCCTTTGTTTTATGACTGGTTATCAGAAAGTAAGCACAGGCATCAGCTGTAAGTACTGTATGACTCCTCAATCACAAAGGCCTGCCTTTGTCACTTTTTCTAAGGCCCATGACATGCTCTTGATTGTTCATTTAGCTTCAGGATGATCTTGTAAGAGAGAATTCTCTTGAGAACATTGACTGATGGTAAACCAGAAATACAGCATTTCCCTGATGGTTCATTTCACTGCTTCCAGTCAGATGCATCCCTGTCTAACACACTTGTTTGCATAGACTCATGAGACAATGACTATTACTTTCTCCTCTCAGGAACTCTCCAATTATAGACCTCAATTACAGACTAGGAGTCCTTTCAGCTCCTTCTCTTATGGAAACTTTCTTTTAACTGGGCCTTCAGAGATGTTGATCCTACATGTTCTTCTGGTTCTTCCCCAAGCCATGGGGATTACTATTTGTTCAATGGCAATGGCTGCCAAAGGCTGCCAGATTCTAACAAACCTATCAATTCTAAAGGAAATCAACCCTGAGTGCTGAATGGAAGGACAGATCCTGAAGCTGAGGCTCCAATACTTTGGCCATCTCATGAGAAGACTCCCTGGAAAAGACCCTGGTGTTAGGAAAGTGTGACGGGAAGAGGAGAAGGGGACGACAGAGGACGAGATGATTGGACAGTGTCATTGAAGCAACCAGCATGAATTTGACACAACTCTGGGAGGCAGTGGAAGACAGGAGGGCCTGGCATGCTCTGGTCCATGGGGTCACAAAGAGTTGGACACGACTAAACGATGACGACAGCCAAAGGAGTGGGATCCTTAGATGACGTGGAGCTCAATTTCATTTGTTCCACTAACTCCCCATCAGGTGCTATTGTAATGAATACCACACAGGTGTAACCACCCCTCACACTCAATAAACTTTCAAGTATTCAGACACTTATCCACAGAAACAAACTATATTGCCCTTCTAATGAATGGCTTGAATTTGGCATTTAATCAAACTACCATTTTCTTTGTGTGTATTGTATGTCTTAGATTGTAAGCCTATGGCCAAAGACTATCTTAAGACTTATTCTAAAGGCCCTTCCATCTATAAAGCAGAATTGAAATTCCACCCAGTACTCTCTTGAATTTCTACTACGCAGAAAGTCCTGCCAATATAGCAACATGGATGTAATGCGTGTGCAAGCACTGCTGGACATTCTACTTCTGAATAAGCAACAAGAAAAAAACCCACACGCCTTACAAGAAGCTGGAGTTCCATCAATAAGCAACCTCTAAAGCACAGAAAGTAGCAAAATTGCAAAGAATCAAACATTAAGTCAAGCAATTAAAAGCATATGGAAGCAGGATCAGGTCATCCTCCTCCCTGTACTAATTTCACCAGCTGGAGTTGTTCCAAAACCTTTGATCACTGATTGAAAACAATTGCCAATAACTACTCATTTGCTTCCTGAAATTAAAAAATCAGTGATTTTGCAAACATGTCATCTCATCTGCAAATTTTTTTAACTTGGCTCCTAACTTTTAGGCTTGAGATTTCAGTATGGCCCATACACCAACAAAGCTCAGAAATAAGGAGCATAACTTTCAAATAATAATTGAAAGTGATGAGCATTATAATCCTCCTCAGTATAATGAAGTTAGAATGTGTTATGTCAGACTTCTCCAACCTGGTGTACTCCAGACTACAATCCCCATGATCCCCAGCCAGAAGGGCAGTAGGTTAACAAAAGAGTATGCTATGTTATGCCCACTAAAAGGTGAAGAAGATGTTCTCCAATTAGTCATGTCGTCTTCTGTTTCAAGGGCTTGTTTTGTTTTGGTTTATTCTGTAGTAGGAAGCAACGAACTGAAGGTTAATACCTGCTAGTATTTATTTCAGCATCTTAATCATGGGTGCATTTGCTTCATTGCTATTTTCCTTCTCCAAAAGTTCAAAAGCTTTTGGTCTCAGAAGAGACCTCATGGTCCCAATTATCCCTACTAAAAGGGAAATAGGAAGTAGTTTTAATAGCTGAAGTGTGTTTTGTGTGTTTTCAGGCCAGTATTTAACCTTTCAAAGAGCATGCTGAAACAGGAGAAGCAAATACAGAGCAAAAACAGAGTTTTATTGTGGTGAAATCTTAGGTAAGTCTGGGATATTGCATATTCTGTAATAAAGTACATACTGAAGAATAAGTTCTCTCCTGTATTAAAGGGTTTTTGAGGGATTTTTTCATCTACATTTTCTGGCATTTAATTGCTCTGCTCATGATTTAATATTCAATAGAAACTAGGCTAAGAATATGCTACTTTCTAAAGCACAATAATTCACCAAGCTCTTATAAAGAGCAATACAAAAATAACATGACTAATTCACACTACAGTATCTTATTTGCAGCACATTTTGATAAAAACACATTAAGATTGCTTCATGTCTCATGGTCACTTTCTAATCCTGAATTTTTCCCTGGAGAATGGCATTCATCTTTCTGGGTTTCGGCAGATTTCTTTATTCTTCTATAGTAGTGCATGGCATTACTTTTCTCTTTCTCTTCAAAGGATAAGCTACTGGAGTGATATTGGTTTTCCAAAGCAAACTGCAGAGAGCTGTAAAATCTTAAAAAGAAAAAAGAGAAAATATTTATTTGTTTGTTTGTTTATTTATTTATTTATAAATAATATGTTACCCCATCTTTTTTTCTTCTTTAAAAGGATCCAAGGTGACTTGCATAATTAAAAAGACACTATTTAAAAGCTAAACAGTACATCTACAAATATTTTTTAAAAACAATTAAACAAGCATTGTATGAAAAATGGTAAATAAAATAAATACTAAAAAGCAAAAAGGCACAACAATCCATTAAAAAACCCCTCTCCAACAGCCAGTTACTAAGAGACAGATTGCCTGATTTGTGATTCTTAAAGGTTTCCTAAACATTTCCGCTTTAGTCTGTTTGGCTCTAATAATCCAGAAGTTGTTGTTTGGAACACTGGCTACACAGTGACTTATGAGAATATAATGACTGATTCTTGATCTAAATGTATGCATACATGTATGGCTAAGCATACTGAAAGACTAAGGCTCTAACAACCTTTTTAGATGCCTCTAATATGCAATGTTTATTCCAATGATGATGATTACAATGATGATAATAACACATCATGATCACCATCGTCCATCCTCATTAAGATAACAAAGCATTACCAACATAAGGCTAGCAGAAGTAGCATGATGCAAGCTGATGAACTTGCTGAAAGCGGATTACTTAAATGTGTGTTTTGTTATTATATATCTCTATAATTTTACCCTGCCTTTCTCCTGAAAAAGGACACAAGATGGCATAAATGTGTGTTTTGTTATTATATATCTCTGTAATTTTACCCTGCCTTTCCCCTGAAAAAGGACACAAGATGGCAAGATGGCACACATCATTAAAAGACAATATTTAAAGCTAAAAACAGTAAGTATACAAATACTAGAATGGACCAAGTAAATATGACACAAAAAATGGTAAACAAAAACAACACCAAAAAGATTGTGAAGTATTCAGACATATCTGTAGAGAAACAACCTTCTTTCTCAGTTTGAAATGGTAGAACTAAAGTGGAAACATGGGAAGCGCTGCTAGAAGGAAAATAAAAAAAGCATTGGTACTATTTGTAGTTTAAGAACCCTGTGCTGGGCTACCAGTTGAAAGGACGAGCTACTGGAGGGATGGCAAGTGGGAGCTGCTGCGCCACATGAATTGCAAGAACGTGATGTAAATCCGACAGAAATGCCGCTTTCACCCTGTTAAATAATGCCTGGTGGACAGAGACACCCTGAACATTGGGAATTATCCTTCAGGCAGAAAAGATGTACAGTTCAAAAAGTTGTGATCACAAATATGTACCTTAGATATCGTTTGGCTTATTTAAATTATTTTTGTTCCACCTTTTCCCTTAAAAACAACCTGAGTTGGCTTACATCATTAAAAGACAGGATTTACAGCTAATAACAGTGAGTATGCAAGTACTAAAACGATCAAGCAAATACCATACTAAAAAATTGTAAACAAAAAGCAATACCAAAACACACTTAAAGCGGTAAGGAACAATCCATTTCAAAACCCCACTGAGGCAGCCAGTCATTAAGGGGAAGCTTGCCTGAAGAGAAAGGTCACTGCCTACTTGTAGAAGGACAGCAAAGATGGGGCCAGCCTGGCCTCCTGTAGGAGGGAGTTCCAAAATCTGGAAGTAGCAACAGACAAGGCTGTCTCCCGTATCCTTGGAAGTAGCAACAGAGAAGGCTGTCTCCCGTATCCTCACGAAGCACATCTGTGAGGTGGTGGGACTGAGAGAAAGACCTCTCCTGATGATCTTAACATCTGCATAGGCTCATAAAGGGAGACATGGTCCTTTTGATAAATTAGATTCCCATTTAGGGAACAGGATTTTTAGAAAATAATCATGCTCTATCTTGCTACATATACTTTATCTGAAAGAGGCCAAGCCTTCTAACAGTGGGGATCATCACAGCTGCAAATAATTCTATGCCCAATTAGAAGGAAGACCTACTGGTCTACTGTATTTCCAAGCTAGTATGCTCAGCCTCGCCCCTAAAAATCAAGTAAAAACACTAAGCTAAGCACATTAATTTTTTTTTAAATACCAGCTTTCTGACTCCAGGTCCAGATGAACCATGGAATGCTTTATAGTAAGGCATTTTCAAATACTTTCATGGAGTCAGGACACTTTTCATATATACATTTCATTTTTCTGCCCACAATATTAAATCACCAGGAAGGCTATGTCATTTATATATTCTCAACAAACCTGTCAATTCTCCTCTGGTTTTCTTCCATCTTTTGATTGGCAACTTGAACCACAAAATCTACATATTCTTCACTGACCATCAGTTTGCCTTTCCGGCTGAGAGGAACTTCTAAGCAATGAGTGCTTCGCACAGCCTGCAGCAAAACAAAAGCAACTCTAAACACAAAACTGCTTCTGCTGAAGGTGACTTATCAAAGACTACAAGGCAGGGAAATTCAATAAAAAAAACCTAACTAGGAATGAATCTGGGATGAATCCCAAGCTGGAATTAAGATTGCTGGAAGAAATATTAACAACCGCAGATATGCAGATGATACCACTCTGATGGCATAAAGTGATAACTTTAATTAAAGAACCTCTTAATGAGGGTGAAAGAGGAGAGTGCAAAAAACGGTCTGAAGCTCAACATCAAAAAAACTAAGATCATGGCCACTGGTCCCATCACCTCCTGGCAAATAGAAGGGGAAGATATGGAGGCAGTGACAGATTTTACTTTCTTGGGCTCCATACCAAGAAAGTGACAGCAGCCACAAAATTAAAATACGCCTGCTTCTTGGGAGGAAAGCAATGACAAACCTAGACAGCATCTTAAAAGCAGAGACATCACCTCGGCAACAAAGGTCCGCATAGTCAAAGCTATGGCTTTTCCAATAGTGATGTATGGAAGTGAGAACTGGGCCATAAAGAAGGCTGACTGCCAAAAAATTGATACTTTTGAATTCTGATGCTGGAGGAGACTCTTGAGAGTCCCTTGGAATACGGGAACAAACCTATCCTTCTGAAGGAAATCAACCCTGAGTGCTCATGGAAGGACAGACCCTGAAGCTGAGGCTCCAGTACTTTGGCCATCTCATGAGAAGAGAAGACTCCCTGAAAAAGACCCTGATGTTGGGAAAGTGTGAAGGCAAGAGGAGAAGGGGACGTCAGAGGACAAGATGGCTGGACAGTGTCATCGAAACTACCAACATGAATTTGACCAAACTCTGGGAGGCAGTGGAAGACAGGAGGGCATGGTGTGCTCTGGTCCATGGGGTCATGAAGAATCGGACATGACTTAACGACTAAACAACAACAACTAGGAATATTGGGTCACTTTTAGAGAAAGCCTGTTTGAAACTGCAAAGAGAGGTCCTATAATTTTGCTATAATGAACAATGCAGTATTCTTTGAACAACTATTTAATATTTCATTTATCTCTCTCTCTCTCTCATCTATCTATATGAGATTTATTTCTTAGATTTCTATCATGCCCTTTTAGAAGTCTACTCCGGGTGGGTTCCATTAAACATTGTAAACTAAAACAGTTAAAAACAATTCAAAACAATAGTGATTAGTAATGCTTATTAATGCTCAAGATAGGAAAACAGAAAATTATAATAAAAATAAAGTCAAGTGTTTGTGTTCAAACTAATGCATGGACATACATTTGGAGGTTCCTATATGATTAGTCTCCGATTCAGATTGGAGCTGCTACTTCATTCAAGTTGTGTCCAAAACCTCAACTTAGAGGGAAACTTTCAGTTTGTTTACTCAAAATGACTACTCATATATTCTTCTTGCATGCAAGACACTTTTTGTTCACCAGAAAATTACAAATAAGATAATCTTTCAAATTTTTCTAAACTTTTCAATAGCCAAAGATTATCTAAAACTTGGGACTAAGGTGTGTTCAACTACAGAGCCAGATGTAATTTCTGCAGTCTTCCAAATGTTGCTGTCTTCAGTTTCTGTTGCCACTAGCCAGTTTTGCAATGGTGAGAGATACTGTAGTAGAAGAAGATCAACCTCTGGAGAGCTGTAGGATTCCCATATAGTATTTTACAGGACACTGCACCTAAGGCTATCTTCACACCTGTGCTACTGGTGGCTCAGAGAACCACCCCTGCCATTACGGTTGCAAGTACCACATTAATTATCCACATGGAGCTGCAAATAGCCTCCAAGCAATTCCAAGCACAGAGTGAACCCAGAAATATTTTTATGCTCCCACAGGCAATATGAAAAAACGCAACATACCATCATAATTTTTCCTTTTCGGCCAACAGTTATACCAGAGTTCCTGAAACCAGCTTCTATAGCAACTTTGTGCTGTAAAGATAAGAGAATACAGCCAATGTAAACTTCATGCTCAATCTAGATTCTAACACCAGCCAAGGACATACTCAGACAGGCCTGCAACATTGAACATTGTGCATGCTCAACTAATAATACTTTGCAGAAGATGGCTGATGACTTCAAATTCCTTGTGGCGTTTGGTCCTAGTTACCCCTGGTTATTTTCTTACCACAGAGCACTTGAAGGCAAACCAAACTCCTCTTCACACACTGCCACCAGTTGATCGCTAAATCAACATACTTTTCTAAAGAAAGATGAAGGCCCATTCGTCACTGTCTTTTAAATAAAACAGGTTTACTGATTACAGATGTTTTGATAATAATTCATACATATCTTCTTCAGATTTCTAAATCAACAATAACAATCTTCTATTTGATCTTACAGTTACTTATACACTCTTCTGACTAATCGCACCTCAGATCTCCCAAATATCACTCTCTCTCTCACTCCACTCTCTACACTCTGACTCTGACTCTCCCATCTCAGGCTCCGCCTTGATATCTCTATCTCTCTCGGCTCCACCTCTCAACAACATTAGCCTACAACATGAATAATGCATGACTAATTAACATAATAAGGGTGAATGCCACATTCCTCATTATATTATGACTGAATAAAAAAAGAAAAATCCTGTTTCTGTTTTACATTGATTTAAAATGTTTCAGCAGAAGGAAGTACTTCAAACAGTAGGGAGGTATATAAATGACTATCATACCATTTCAGTGCCAGCGTGTCAAACAGCAGTACATAAATACATTTTGCATTTAAAAAACCCAGATACTGTATATTACAGGCACCATGCATGAAAAGACTTGCATTTTTCCCTCTTAAGCAGCAGGCATAGCTTGCAGTTAAGGCATGGAAGACCTGCTAGAGTTAGTACAAACATAGTAAGTATCCTCTAGTAATACTTCCCTGGATGGACCAAATGATATGTAGCCAAACAAAATTTTGGAAAAACAAAAGATAGCATTTTCTTGTTGATGTGAATTTAAGCAGGGGTCCCCAACCACCAGTCCGTGGGCTTGCTAGAACTGGGTCGTAGAGATGGCTCTCCGCCCCCCCCCGCATGGTCGGTGGGTGTGTCGTGATCACGCAGGGGCGTGTGGATATGGGATAGTGGATATGCTATAGCAGAAGACTGCCAATTGCACTGTGTAGCTGTTTTTCTGAAATTCTCATTTCAACATTAACAACAGCTTTGCCACTGATTGTATCAAACCATAATTTCACTTATGAATATCACATCTGCAGAAATAAATTAAGTTTGTTTTTTTCACGGTTGTATTCTCCCAGTTATTAAACATGCAGGGCCTCAGGGAACGGTCTTATGTGTGAAAACTTAGTCAAAAGCCAGCTTTTAGTTATGTAGCAAGTATGGAATTCAAGTAGAACAACACTTTACCAGAAGTTGTGCATCTTGCAGCTCTTGACACTGCACATGAAGTACAAATGGTTCAAATTTGAATAGGGCATCATCTGAAGCTCTCTGCAAGGCTGTAAGCTACAAGAGCAACAACACGTTAGTATCCATGCTGCATCTGAGAATAAACAGCCAAATTATCTAGCATATAAAATCACTGAACAACAGAAGCCAATTGAGCCTGTTAATTAAAATATATTTCTTCAACCAGTAACACAGAAGTGCTCTAGTACATTTATTCTTTTCAGCACAACATTTTATTAAAGTTTGACTTCACCAAGCCAGTGTACAGATTTAGGAGGGTTGCAAACAGCACCAGACAGCTGAGATTGTCACACATCTTTCTAATATTTCACAAAAATATTTGATCACACTGCTTCTGCAATTTCCTAAAGTAGCAAAACCAATGTTTTGAAAAATACTGGAATTTATTCTAGGGGAAAGACCACTACTATACCAATGAAGAAATGTTGGTGCCACACAACTGGCACCCACTGGATAATCCAATTAAGTAACTTCTCCTTTCCTGAAGACTTGATTTTTTTAAATATAAGGTGTTACCCATCTATCGACAAATAGGAAATATTTTTAAAAGAACCTTTCGCTCTCAGCAATGCCTTCATTTAATAATACCTCAATTTCCTTCAAGTAGTAACAATAAAACAGACTAGAATGTGAATTGCTTCAAATCTTATCTAGTCAATCTTACAGCTCCATGGATTTGTATGGGATATGCAGAAGTAATTCTAATTACACCATCCTCTCTGCAGGAAATCTATGCCATGGTAGACTTCGGCTGCCAATGCTTGATCATGGCTCATGCCATGCCAACATTAGGGGAAATCTGTTCCCTCCGACAATTATTATTAGTAGACGGTTCTCTATGTTTCTGCTTGTTGAAAATGATCTGATCTTAATTTAAGATGTGTTTTTGACTTTAAGTATGACCAAGAATGGTAGTTAATTTGCAACAGATGATACAGATTCAAAGAATATCTCACTTGCTCTGGAACACAGCACAGCAACTATCTCAGAAATGTAGAGCTAGAAGGGAATTCAGAGGTCATTGTCCTATTAGCAAGGGCTACAATTCTAAGCACATACTGTATTTAAATATTAACAGGAGAGAAACTTGATTCAACTAACTGCTAAAGCTGAACAACTTACTGTCATATATGGCCAAGGAAAGCTGAAATGGCACAGGCTCAGAAAAAAAGGTTATGAGAAAGCTAACCATTATGCTTCCTAATCCTACAAGTAAATAAATGTCTCCCATTTGTTATTCTACAGAGTAATCCCATGTTAGGAATGGAGCAAGGCTGAGAATTAACTGGCAGATTCACCAGCTGTGACAAAAGGTACAGTTTATTCTGCTACTGTTTAACCTGGCAGATCCCAAGCCCTTTCCCCTCCTACTGAAAGCAACTGAAGTCAGCTTTAGGTTGGTGTAGTCACAGACGTCATCCTGAGGTATGATACAGAAGGCTGCTTTTTTTTAATCCAATGCATCTAAGACCACCACTAACATAATCCCACAATACGATAATCAAACCTAGCCCACCTCCAACTGCCCTATGTGTGTATGGGACTGACAGGCCACCTCAATGGCCAAGGGCTCTTCCATGGCAGCCTAGGCTCCAACTCAGTGGCCACCCAACATGGCTAGATTGCTCTCTTATTCAGCTACACTGTTTAATAATAACAAAACACAAAATGTGCAGGAAACCAACCTAGTCTGTAATCATAAACTAGGTTCAATTTAGGGAACAAGACTCACTAAACTCAGACTTACTTTCAGGTAAACATACTTTGCTTTGCAAAACCAGGTATTTATGCCCTAAGTTTGAGTTATGTCAAATTTCTACTCTTAGGAAGGGTATCTCCAGTATCAAAATACATATTCAAAATACTACAAAAGAGATACTTAAGTTACTTATTAGATGCCCCACCACTGTATGCAACACAGATGCCCAATATTTACAATATTAGTCACAGTTCTTTAAGAGCTAAGGCTAAATATCAAGAGAGTTTTTCTATTTTTATTAGCCTGTTTCTGAGTAACACTCTCAAAAAACAAAAAACCAAACAAAACACACATTCTCTCTCCTTGTGTAAGTGGAAATTCAGTTTGGTTACTAATCCGCATACATCGTGGTACATGTGTTTTTCAACTTTTACTGACAAATTTAATAGAGCAGTTATAGTAACAGTCAATTACTCATTCTGGGATAGGAAAGACATAACACATATCTGTCATATACTTATTATCATTACTCTAAGCAAATGATCAAGCAACACTACAAGGAGGGGGAAAAATCCCAGATGGAGTAAGAGGCTACTTTCAGGTATTGCCACCCTAAAAGACAATTTTTAACAGACGGTCCTGTTTAAATAGCAACTTTCTGGATATCAGAGTTTCTATAAATACTTGGAAAAAAGTTCTGGCTGTTCTCCTTCCACACTTCTTTATAGCTTTGGCTCAAGGCCTAAGTCTACAGAGACTTAAAAATCAAATTTCTTCAAAATATGGTTTTGGAATACATGTTGTGATTAAAGGATATTGTTACCTTATAGCTTCTAGATCATTAATTTCCTGCGAAAGGCTCAGCTTTAATATTAAAATACTGAAAGTAATTTCCTATTATATCTTCAGAACATACACCACAGCCTTTCTTCCGTGAACGTCAACTGCGAGACTCCCAGTGGGTAAAGATCAGGCTCTCAATCAATATATATGAAAGCATAATTTCTGGAACTGTAATTACAGACTGCTGAGGTTAACCAAGTTATTTCTCAGATCTGAGAAATATCCATTTTTCATTAAAGCCTAATAAAGTTTTGTCATGTGGACTTTTGATCACAGAGTGTCAGGGAAATATTTTTATACCGTCACTGTGGCTAAAGACGTCTTCCCAGAGGCTTAATCAGATTTACAAGTATGGACCATTATATCTATTAATTTATAAGAACTCAGTTCCTTAAATCCTAAATTAATCAGGTCAGAATCATATTATTTGTATGACGGCATAAGAACGATGGGAAATTATTCACTGCAATTCACATTGGCACTGAACAGCACTTAAATAAAATGTTATCTTTTTCTGTTATATCATTTTTCACTAAAAGAATTCAAGTGTAATTTCAGTGTAGACCACTTCTACAGCATATAAGTATGTATACAGTGACAAAGAAATAAAAGGACTTTTTTTCTAAATAAATAGAACATAAAGTACATTGATGAAACTCATTAACAGAGATTCTTAAAATCTCTTTTCCATTTTCTCTGTAACAGTTCTTTACCTAGTAGATTTTGGAAGGTTCTACAATTTCATGCCAAATAAGCCCAGAAAGAACTTTTAATTCTTTTCACGCGCATGCACACTTCTCAGTTTTGTTACAACTTTCCCCACCACTGTGGCTTTAAAACAAATTTAACTTGGCCACCAGAAGTCTCAAGCAGAAAGTAAAAAACAATATTAAGAAAAATCTCTCAAATATCTTCAGCTTTATTTATCATATTTAAGGAAACTATAGTCACTTAACATGAGTTAAAATTTTGATAGTGGAGTAAACACTCGCCTGAATTATAAACCATCAAGGTAATATAAAACAAATGATACAAATACTGTAATTTGATTTGGGGGGGGGGGTTCATGGAGAATATATGAATGAAACAAGCATTTTTGCAACATACATAAAGAACAAGTCATACTAGCTCTTACCACTTTTTCTATTGTACAAATCTCATGGGTCACCATGAGCCAGCTACAATTTTGCTTCTGTATCTCAAAGCCTGTTGTAGCCTAGTGGGAGGAAGAAACAGTTTCACAAATCTTTGTAGAATGCTTTCTATTATAGGCACACTTACCCATATCAAAACATGGGAATTTCCCATCACACTGAGGGGGGGGGGAGAGAAACAGAAGCTAGAACAGAAGGCCTAATAGATGGTCCTAGATGATCTGGTGTACCTCAAGCAAATTTTACAGGTCTCTAGATGACCTTGTCGCCTTCTGTATTTCACTACGACTACCTCCTCCTCCTTTTTTGGCACAGGAAAACTGTCAGGAAAAAACTGAATAGCTACACAGGGCTTTTGACCGGTATGTTAAGCACCCACTGAGACTGAGCTAATGAGTCCATGTAAAGATGTTGAGCTCCAAGGAGGAGAGGGCCACTCTTTTCAGAACCTGCCACATTACTCTCAGGCAGAATAAGTCCTGTGAGGGCTGAAAGGAGAGTTGTCAGCTAAAACTAAATTTAAAAAAAATGCAATATTGATTAGTCATGGAGGCCAAGAGCCAGCTGAACCTGTGCCGAATCTGACCTCCCTCCAGTTTGGGAATGTTGGAAATTATTTAGGACATACCTTTGTACCAGCACATATGCTGTGTTCTTGGACTGGAAAAGATTTGGACCCTGCACAAGTGGACTCCACCCTTTTCCCGTCTCTCTCTCTCTCTTTTTGCAACGGATTTTAGCCAGTGCAGAAGTTCTGCTGGCAAATCATTTGGAAACAGGGCGCAGAAAAAACTTTTGGCGGTTCAAGGACACCTTTACCTATTGCAGACTCTCTCCATCTGGTACACCTTTGAGCTAGAATCGCTTGTAAGTCCTAAAGGAGCAGCTCTTCCGCGGGGGGAAAAAAACAATTTAGGGTGAATTTAGGGAGTGTGGGGGTGATGAGCCAACCCTATGCCTATTTACTCAGTAGTAAATTTTAAAAGCCGCTGCCGGGCTGGCCTGTCAGCAAAAGGAGAAAAAGAGGGCATTCTCAACCAGAGTTGCTCGGGGGCGTGTATATTCACGGGGTTTGGAGGACGGCTGAGGCAGGGGCTGTCTTTATTTGGCGTCAGGTGTTCAGAGGCGGGAGAAGGGGAGAGAGAGGAAGAAGCTCCCCGCTGACTGCTCTGCCCGAAAAGAGGGAACCGAAAGGTTTACCTCGGCGGAGGGAGGGAGAGGCGGCTGCTCCAGCACGACCAGGCGCCCCGAGCAGGAGCTGGTGGTGCAGAAGCGGTCGTGGCTATTGAGAAGCCGCACGATGCCCTCGATGGGCTCGTCTACGCTGCCTTTCCGGCTCACGTCCGCCCGGGCCAGCCGCTGCTCCTTCCAGCGTTTGAAATCAGCCATGCGTGGCGGTTCTCCTTTATCCTCCCCGGTTCGTGGGCAGCGCCATATTAGACCACGGCAACCCGTCTGGGACAAACTTCCTGCGTAAGCGCTTTTGCCGGATTCTCTTGGTACAGCACTCAGAAGACGCCCAATGTAAGGAGATTTGAGTGCCTGTGGGGAGAGGGGGGTGTCCGAGGCTCACCATCTCAAGCTAACATGCCTAAAGTCGTGCAGCTCGAGCCCCCTAGTGTGTTTACTCGGGAGTAAAGCCTCAGAGTTCAACAGCAGTTCCCTTCCAGAGAAACGTGTAGACGCCCCAACGGGATCTTAAATTGCACTTTTTGAACGAACACGCTCTCTACCGGGTGTTCGGCCAGATGTACGTGACGGAAATGTCCTGTGTTTAAGAGACATGATTCGCAACAGGATTCCTTCGTCTCGGGGGCCTCGGCACTTGGTGCTGCAGACTCCCCAGATCTGCTCTGCTTCGCCTTAGAAAATGCTAAACTGGGTGGATGTAAATTTGGTGCCAATAGGGTGCTAACATCTGAAAAATGGGTAGGGGAGAGAAAAAGACAAATGGAGAGATGGACATTCCAGATAACAAACGAAGGGTGAAACCCAGCGTCTACACACACCCATAGTGCAACGGTAGGGATCACTGTTGTAGGGCATCCCGCTGAATGTACACTCTACGTAGGATTCAGTCCAAGTCTGGAGCTATGGGCATGGATGTTAAAAGCAGGATCCTTCCGCTCCATCGGAACCTAATTCTGAGCAAACTCGCTTACATGCCTCACTACACCGTAATATGCCTAACTGACCTGCTGCTGCTTAATATTGGGCGCAGCTAACTCAGTATCTACGAACAACGCTTAGAAGTACTGTACACTACAGTACTAAAAAAATGAAAGACGGCGCTCCCCTCCGCGCGCAGAGGTGGAACGTATTGCGCGTGCTCAGGTCGGGCCACGTTTTGTTAACGCTAGTCGAGCGCTCTCTTTCGGCGCCTGCGCACTACGGCCCTTGGGAGTCCCAAGCGAGCTTGGGAGAAGCCTATTGCGCAAAAACTACGTCTTGGGTTCCTTAAGCAGAGGTGGGCTGGTTTTCGCAGGTTGGTTATCCGCGGAAGTGTCGGGGAACAGTCCTCTGGGTAAACTGCAGTTTTTTTTTCTTTTTATCTGTCACCTTGGGCAGTCACTAATGGCTTTCAACGTTGTGGCAGAAAGAGGCAGTCTGGGATTTGTAAAGCAGCAAGTAATTGCTGTTTAAAATATAAATTCCTAAACGTGTCTGTTATGTAGTGAGAAAGAATTCAGGGCTTCAGCCTCTAGGTTATCTTTGACTTAGGGTAGCATTGAAAAATGAACTTAACACCTTCCTCGTTTGTCAGGGAAATTTGGATTGTGTTGCCTTATATCAGTGCTTTGATTAAATATTTCTTATTTAATCAAAAAGAGGGACTTTGTTAAGTCTCTTGACGCTGAGACTGTCAAATGATTTATATTGTTCTGAAGGCTGAAAATACTAAAGTGTTACTGCTGCTTACTGGACATACTGATTTAGAAGAATGTAAATAGCAGAAGGAGAAAAGGATGATGGAAAGAATCACACGCTCACACAGTCCAAAGGGTGATATCTATATTCGACCAGTAAAAAAAAAATCACAAACAAGTGTTAGCTTTTGGCCCACATGGGCCTTCATCTTCTGGACACTACTTATCTGTGGATGGTGCGGTTAAAATAGATCTGGGAGAGACACTGCCAATCATTGAATGCAATCTCTTGTCAGAAAGGCACAGTGGGGAATCAAACTCCCAACCTTGGACTCCGCAGCCAGATACCTAAACCACTGAGCTCCATGCAGGAGTTAAAAAAATCATGGCTAGATGTCTAGGCTGGCTTCTAAACGAGGCCTCTGAAATCAAACCAGGAGTGCTGGTTTTCAATTCCACCTCTGGCAATGTTAGCTGAATGGTTTCAAACTCACCAGACAGAAGGCTGCAGCATCTCCCTCACCATTGCCTTACACTGAAACAAAAGTTCCTTTTCTTTGGTTAGTGTGACAGAAAAGTGGTAAACCTTTTATCAGAGAAATTGGGATAAAATTTAGTTTACCCAATAAGTGAGCGAGTTACAACCAAGTTAGTAGCATTACCTAGTGGTTGAAGTTATTGCACTGAGTTTGCAGTCTTGCTTGCTTGATGTTATGTCTGTGTCCATGCATGATTGTGGGTCATAGCCTGGCTGGCAGTTCAGGTTATCTTTTCTTACAAATTTCACAAATGAAAATGAGGCTCTGCTGTTCTTATGTAACACTTTAAAAAAAAACATTGAGGATGATTACGTAAATGTGGTTTAGCATGGCAGCTGATGTGACACTGGGTTAATGTTCTCTTTATGTTAGTAGATTTGCCATGGCTCATTCTCACATACCCAAGTCATTTAACAATGTTACAGTCATGTAGTGCTTGACATTTATGTGTGAGCAAGCTTTTAGTTTCACTAGATTTTCAGTACTGTAATATAGTGAAATAATCTAATAAACAAGCACAGAGGAAAGAACTAATTGAATCTGTCCCACTTCCACTCTTCAGCATAGAAGTCCACGTTTCAAGGACAGCACTTACAGATGCTGCTTATGCATGACTTCTTATGTCTCCAGTCAAGAGCATTGGAAAAATGTATTTTAAAATTAAATGTAGTTTAAAATGATTGCTTTGGAACCAGATTGAAAAGAATGCTGGAGAACTATGATTAAGATCTCTATGGGTTTTGTGAACTAATTAGCAGCCCGTTGTAGCTGCTTATAAAATTCCTGAAATGGTCCTTGACAAGAATCGCCCCTTTTCTCGTTCGTTGTATAAGATGCTCCTAATGGGAGGGATACAAGGGGGTGCTGATAAGTATTGAGCCTTTCCCAGAAAAAAATGAGCTAGGAAGCTGTAACTGCCACACTATTCTACATATTCCCCCAGGAAGTCAATGCACGTGCAACATCTGTCCTGCAGCTTCTTAAGTCCCTGCAAATAAAATTCTTCCGACTGCTGGTGTAACCACTCATTTGCAGCATTAGTTGCCTCCGGAACACTCCCAAATCATTGTCCCTTTAGATGGTTTTTGAGTTTGGGGAACAGATAATACAGTAGTCAGAAGGAGCCAGATCAGGAGAATAGGGTGGATGGGGCATCACTTGAAAGCCTAAGGACGTCAGTTTTGCCATTGTTTCATCTGCAATATGTGACAAGGCATTGTCATGCAACAGGATGACACCTTTGGAGAGTCTGCCTCAATGTTTTTCCTTGATGTTTTGCCTCAACTTAATCAATAAAGCACAGTAATATTTTTCATTGATGGTTGAACCTTGCTGGAGGTAGTCCACCAGCAGAACTCCCTTCTTATCCCAAAAAAACGGTTGCCATTTGCTTCTGCACCGACCTTTGCAGTCGGAACTTCTTTGGCCTGGGGGAACCACTGTACCTCCATTCCTTAGACTGTTCCTTTGTCTCAGGATCATAACAGTTTGCCCAGGAAATCTAACTCATTTCTTGTAAAATGTTCCAAAACAGCCACCGATGACTCCACATGTTTCCTCTTTTGTTTGGTTGTCAAAAGTTTGGGGATCCACTTTGCTGCCAGCTTTCTCATTTCCAAGTCATTATGGATAATAGCACCAACTCTCTCACGTGATATTCTCAGATATACAGCCATACTTTTGGCTGATATTCGGCAGTCCTCCATGACCATGTCATGGATGGCTTTCACATTTGCAGGCACATAGACAGAAACAGGCCTTCCACTGGGTTTCTCACTTTCAACACCAAAATGGCCAGTTTTAAAATGGACAACCCAACATTTAACTGATGCATATGAAGGGCCACTGTCACCCATAGTTTGTGACATTTCGTCATGGATCTGCTTTGCACCTTTTCCTTGGAGAAACAGGAACTTGATTATGGTCCTATGCTCCTCCACATTGAACTTTTCTGGAGGTGCTGCCATGTTCACTTTGGACCTGAACATGAAAGATACCGTATTTTCACACCATAAGACACACTTTTTCCCCACAAAACAGGGGGGTGGAAAGTCTGTGCGTCTTATGGAGCGAAGAAAACGGATTATATTTTCCTGTTTTCTTCTCCTAAAAAATTGGTGCGTCTTATGGAAAGGTGCGTCTTATGGAGCGAAAATAAGGTAAAATCATAGGTAGTTGATTTTTTGCACTGTTGAATACAGACAAATTGGCCAATACACCCTGCAATTTATGCTTCCTAGCTCAATTTTTTCTGGGAAAGGCTCAATACTTATCAGCACCCCCTCGTACAGTTACAGGTGGAAGTTTGTCCTTTACTCTGTTATTAGTGAAACTTTTCTCCTCACCTATAATCAGTCTTATCTATGTGTGATGAAATGAGAGTACACTTCAAATAGTCACCTGCTGTTAAGCCTCATGAACCAGAGTTTTTTAAAAAATTGTTCAGTGAGTGGAGGTATTTTCCAACTCCTTAGGAATTCCAGTGTACTGATAGCTAGCAATGTCATTGGAGTTAGGGGCTGAGTTTCTTGCATTGCCTGAACCCAGTGAGAATTCCAGTGCCTCTCCATGGGGCTAGCCTACTGACAATCAGAATATGTTACTTTGTTTGAGTTAACAATATCGTAGAATGTCTGCCTTAGCAAAATTGTTGTGTATGGATTATGCAACAAAATGTGGAGCAGTTTGGAAAACCAAAATGTTTCATTGTGATAGGCAAAAATTGTGTATTTTTTAATTATAGTTGTGCAGATGGAACACTTGTGCCTTCTTTGCTCCAGAAATGAGGCGTAAGCAAATAATTTTGCTTACCAGATGGACAGTTGATTTTGGTTGACTTAGTCTGTACATTTGAAAGCTAAGGAGGTTTAGTTTACAAGTACGTAGTTCTGTTATTGTAAGACCATTTAAATTGAGGATCAATGAATCTGCATATTTTTTTTAAGAAGCCAATTTCATCCTGAAATGGAATAAATGATCCTGAAAACTTTACAGGTTACATCACTTCTCTGTTGGTGCATTTGTTAGCAAGCCCTTTTGTATTTTTGACAAATTTCTTTTCCTCCCTGGTGGTGGTCATTGTCCTCCTTTGTAAGCTAGGAATTATAAGACCTGAGAGGTGATATGTCTGAGAACAGAATGAAGTGGGTGATGAACTTCTGATTTAAATTTCAGTTGAAGAGCAGGTCATTTCATCCCTTCTCTTTGAAGTGGAAAAGGCAGCCAAGACTGAGATACTTTATTTTATCTCTTTGATTTTCTAGGTTGCTATGGCAGCAGGGAGACATGTGATGAGAGCTGTCAGAGTGGTTCAGTTTGGTGGACCTGAAGTGCTTAAGCTGCAAACAGATGTCTCATTGCCAGTTCCAAAAGAAAACCAGGTAAAAATGAACACATTAAACTGGAATAAAACATGCTGAAAATTATAAGCATTACTGTTACTTCTGATGCCTCTCACAGAGCTCCACCAGTACAGTGAGGGTCAAGGTACTGAGAGCGGTAGATTGCTACTAATTAAAGAGTCTCTGCTTCAATTTCAGGGTATACATGACTTTGCCTTATTTGGTGCAAGTCACACACATGCTGAGGTTGAAGCAGGGATTCTTTAATTTGTGGCAATTTAGTTTCCAGTGATACCATTTCTACTGTGCTAGTGGAGTTCTGTGAGATTATACTAGCCATTGGTTAGAAATGTCTGTGTTCCAATAAACAAGTATCATGCTACCCAGAAAATTAGTAGGAAGCTCTTGAGTGGCTGCAATAGCAGAGACTGGACATGAGAACTCAACAGGGCTGGGCGGATGGCGTCAGTCTTGTAGCACTGTAATACAAGACACTGTCTTTTTGCAGCTTTCTGAAAAAACAAAGACTGCATATAAAGCAATGGCATGAGTCAGTAGTGTATTGTATTGGGTGCTGATCATTGTGCCACTCAACCTACTCCTGTAAGACACAAATCAGCCATAGACACAACCAGCCAGTGCTGATCCTTGAATGTGGTTATGTTTGTCAGTCCCAACTGCATGAGTATTGATAAAGCTTTTGTACTTACTAGTGGGTTCTGTTTCAAAACGGTCTGATACAAGTACTTTAGGGCAGTGGCCACCACCTCTGCTGGCCAGGATTTTTGGGAGTTGAAGTCCAAGAACATCTGGAGGCCCAAGGTTGGGGACCACTGCTTTAGGGAATAAGTTTTGGTCTAAAAGCTATTGGTTTGCTTAACATAACAAGTCCAAATTCATTTCTGGTGACTTGTGCCATCTGAATTTCCGAAATTATTACTGAAAATTCAGCAAATTAAATGCATATATAATTCTACCATTATTTGTCTTAATCTACTTGTTCAGCAGATATTATTTCATTTGGCAGGTTCTCATTAAAGTGCACGCGTGTGGCATCAATCCAGTGGATACTTATATTCGTTCTGGGACATATTCTAGAAAGCCAGCTTTACCCTACACACCCGGTTTAGATGTGGCTGGGCTTGTACAAGACGTTGGGGAACACGTAACTGATTTCAAGGTATTCGATTTCAAATGGGTTGTTTGCTATCTCTTAGACAACAAAATTTTAAGACATGGGGAGGGTGCAGTTGTAGCCCTCCACATGTTGTTATCCTATGATTCCCAGCATAACTGATTGTGGTGGATTGTCAGAATTGCAGTCCAACAGATATGGGAGCAGACCTGTTTTAAGATGTGGGACAGCAACCTGTTCGGGAAGGAGCATATACCTGTTGGGTGTAATATTCCCCATGAGTTGTGGAAGCGGGAGGTCATCTCCAAAGTAATGTGGCTTACATTTGTGATGAGGGCATTGTGAATACTCACTTGTGCAGCATCAACAAAATGGTAACTGCAGATGCATGGTAAAGACAAATAGGAGTCTGCCCTGGGAACTGAAAAAAGTCTCCTATAGCCAAGAGATAATAGGTGTTTCTCTTTTTGAGATAGAATTTCTTCTCCTTAGGTAAGATTCCCTCTCCTCTGAAGCTTCTGAATTTATGTCATCATGTTTTGAAATATCAGTACAATATTATATCTTGATTATCATGCACTCCTGTCTGCCAGCCAAATGACTGACAGCAACAGCTGGCAGTTATTAAGGTTTTGCCACCCTGGACGTGGTGGCACTGCGGGTTAAACCGCAGAAGCCTTTGTGTGCTGCGGGGTCAGAAGACCAAGCAGTCATAAGATCGAATCCATGTGACGGAGTGAGCTCCCATCACTTTGTCCCAGCTCCTCGCCAACCTAGCAGTTCAAAAGCATGTAAAAGTGATAAATAGGTACCACCTTGATGGGAAGGTTACATGGCGTTCCCTAGTCATGCTGGCCATGTGACAACGGAAACTGTCTTCGGACAAGTGCTGGCTCTACGGCTTGAAAAACGGGATGAGCACCACCCCCTAGAGTCGGACACGACTGGACTAAGAATGTCAAGGGAAACCTTTACCTTTACTCTGGAAAACATATTTAAATCACGTGCACTAATTTTACTGGTTGTGGACTGGCATTTTCTTTCCTCTGAACAGTAGCTACCAAAAATGTTGTGACTCGCTCTGCAGTTCCTTAGGACATCCATGCAGATAGCGAAAACAAGGCCCCCCATAAGTGAGCTGTGGTGTTATGTCCTGAAGGCTTCCAAGATGTTTTTAACCTTATTTTCATTGGGCTGCATCCAGTAGTGTCATATTGCTAGCAAGCAGAGCTCCTGCTTATAAATAATTCTTTTCTCCAGTCTTTGGGACCCTTCCTAATCCTCCTCAGCCCCCTATCTTAAAGTGCAGCCAGTTCAGGAGCATTCCCTAAAAAATGTGTGTTGGGGGAGGGGAAAGAGACGGAAATCTACTTTCATGTGCTCCCTTCTTCCGGTACAGCAGAAAGGACAGTGGACTTGAATTTATGGTGGATTTATGGCACATTTTTGGTATTCTAAAATTATACATTACAGTATAAATCTTGCAAATACAAATATGGTACATGTCATGCAGACCCATGACCGTTTTTTTTCCTGATTTTCACCTAAAATTACGTCTTGTTTAATTCTTATGAAAGACCACTTCAGTTTTATACGAAAATTGCAGAAAACATTTTGGCACAGTTCTTCACCACTGGGCATTTGTTTTCTTGTACCAGAAAGGAGACAGGGTTTTTACCCTTGGTACCATTTCTGGAGGCTATGCAGAGTATGCTGTTGCATCCGTTGACACAGTCTTTGCCTTGTCTGATAAACTGGACTTCAAGCAAGGTGCTGCAATTGGAATCCCATATTTTACTGCATACCACGCTCTGTTTCAAAAGTAAGATGTGGCTCTTAAACTGCTTTTAAGCATTAAGATAGTCTCTTCCTTTCTCTTCTCTCTCCCCCCCAACTTTCTGCTTTTCTTTGATGCAAACTGTTGTCCCCATTCAAAATCTTCTGTATATTTTCAGAGGGTCTGCCAAAGCAGGAGAAACTGTGCTAATCCATGGAGCTAGTGGAGGGGTAAGCATTGTTAAAAGTCATTCTGTGTTTACCAGGGGGCTAATTCTGCAGGGACGTGGTGGCGCTGTGGGCTAAACCGCAGAAGCCTGTGCTGCAGGGTCAGAAGATCCGGCAGTCGTAAGATCGAATCCACGCAACGGAATGAGCACCCGTCGCTTGTCCCAGCTCCCGCCAACCTAGTGGTTCGAAAGCATGCAAATGCGAGTAGATAAATAGGGACCACCTCGGTGGGAAGGTAAACAGCATTCCGTGTCTAAATCACACTGGCCATGTGACCATGGAAAGATTGTCTTCGGACAAAACCCTGGCTCTATGGCTTGAAGAGCGGGATGAGCGCCGCCCCCTAGAGTCGGACACGACTGGACAAAAATTGTCAAGGGGAACCTTTACCTTTAATTCTAGTTAGAATGCTTATCTTTATAATGGAGAAAGTTTAATGCACCCAGAAGGAAAGATACATTTTTCTAACAACAAATTTCAGAGTTTGATCTATATATTATATGTGAAACATCACTTTAAAAAAATGGAAAATTTCTTTTGAGAAGCAGGAGGAGATGGGGGAGCAACAAGGGGGATTTTTGCTTGCTTTTCTCTTAATGGTCCAATCAAGAGCCAGTCGAGAAGTGCTGCTGCTTGCTGCTTATATACCACCCCATAGTGCTTCAAGCACTCTCTGGGTGGTTTACAAGTTAATTATGCAGGCTACACATTGCCCCCCCCCCAGCGAGCTGGGTACTCATTTTACCGACCTCGGAAGGACAGAAGGCTGAGTCAACCTTGAGCCAGCTACCTGGGATTGAACCTCAGGTCGTGAGCATAGTTTTGGCTGCAGCACAGCGGTTTAACCACTGCACCATGAGGCTCAGTGTTCAATTTGCCAATATCTTGAAGTGACTCTCTTCTTAAGCCACTTCACAATGTTGGCAGTTCAAACAGGAAAGCTAGCTTTTGGTTATTTTTGAGCAATTGCACACACTGGAAATGAACCAAAACAGAAAGGTGAGGGTAGGGCCATTGCTGGTTCACTCCAGCAAAGACTTTGTCTGATTGCTGTCTTTAGGAGCAAACCAGCCCATCCATGCACTGGTCCAAACAGTGGGCTACATGCCCATGTAGTCACCCTCTGAGACTGCCACAAAACAAATAGTATAATATTTGATGCAGGAATATCACTTGATGGCTGACTTTAAAAAACTGAGAGCTACAGCAAACTTGGTAATAACGAGCTGTTACTATATTATCAAAAATGTTTCATTCAAAAGAGTTGTTGAAAAATTGCTATGCTGTTTTTAAACATCCCTGCTGGAAATTATAAGGTGCTCAATTTAATGTGTCAAGTACGCATCTTTCTCGTTGAATGTTCTAGGTAGGAATAGCTACCTGCCAGATTGCAAGAGCTTGTGGCTTGAAGGTTTTGGGCACAGCTGGAACGGAGGATGGGATGAATCTGGTTTTGAGAAATGGAGCTCACAAAGTATTTAATCACAGGAAGGAGGACTACATCACTCAGATTAAGGTAACTATTTGCAGTCAGGTGCATGGCATTTAAATCAAACTGGCTTACATACAGGAAGCCTTAATATGTGATCCCATGTAAGTTTGCTTAGAGGTGAGTCTTGTGGAACTCAGTGGTCCTTACTTTTAAGGCAGTGGCTCCCAACCTTGTGTCCTCAGACGTTCTTGGACTAATAGTGAAGGACTTCTAGGAGTTTTAATCCAAGAAGTCTGGGGACCAAAGGTTGGGAACCACTGCTTTGAGGTAAATGAATATACCATCCTTCATTTAATATTAATAGTTCTATTAAATTTAAATTATTTTCTCCCTTTTTAGTGATTTATGACCTGTTTTAAATCCTGTCACCCCCAAGATCTTGTGGCCATTTAGCCAACCTTTGACGCAAAGTGGCAGTCATCTTTTTTATAATAGAAAGTTATCTCATACATCTGTAGTTACATGTGTTCTTTTGAGCACCTTTCTTGTAAATTGGAATTATGATTGGTGGCACGAGGTTTATCCTAATCTTAACTAATTTGTATGTGAAAGAGCTATTAGCAATATATAATGTGAAATTTGAGGTAATGGTACCCAAGGTCTGTGGAGGATAAAACAGAGCAAAACGCTGGCGTTCTTGTCTGCTTTATTTGTTTTGTGGGAAAAAAATTGTTTTCCAGCAGTACTATAGGTGCTTAAGGTAAAAAATGTGACCCAGATTTTGTGTGGTGCTCTGTGTGGTTTGAAAGTCTCTGATTGTCTAAGTATTCTGAATTGTTTTCCCCTTGAACACCAGTTCTGGAATTCCCAAATGAGATACTGGCACAGTCCTATCTTTGGAGGGCAGCCTTACCTTGTTGAACTTTGTGGCCTGAAGTCTTGCCCTTCTTTATTGACTGTAGAATTGTCCGTCATGCCCTTATTTATAAGGGAATATTAATGGAAGCAAAATATATTGACCAAAACTCATGTTACTAGATTTTGTTTTCCTATTTGTTGGCTGGTTTAGTAAGTTCTCTAGTCAAAGAAATTCAGGCATTTGGATTTGCATGAAGTGAGTGTTTCTGCCATAAATCTGCTACAGGTTTGCTGTACCTGATAATTCTGTGCCTTATCTAAGTTTTCTGAAAGTTCCCAAATGTTATCTTCCTGAGGGTGCAGTACTAACTAGCCAAGATGGCTGAGAGCTAGCTGAGTGAGCCCAAAGCTAGCTGAGACTGGGGTAAATCAATTTCCTTTCAGCCTAGGGATGTTGGGAATTACTTAGGACTGTCCTGACCTAACTTTGTCCCAACTTTGAGTCTGGGCTGAAAGAGGTTTGAATCTGGCCCTAGCTTTTTTCCCACCCCTCCCTTCTCCTTTCTGACCCCTAAGCTAGCACAGGGGTGGATGTGCAGCATAAGAAGTTACTGTCAATTGGAATCTTATTACCCTACAGCCACTGTATGGTATATGTGCAAAGGTTCTGTATAAGACCAGCTATGCCTCTGTAAATTTAAAGGGGTGAGATCAGTTTCCTATGCATTTCTTCATTGGACATTTTTGCCAGGGCTGTTGGGGAACATACAATTCATCCTCTTTCAAATGTATTTCAAGTTAGCACTGCACCTTCATGGAAGCTTTATTATTATTATTGTTACAGTTATACTTTGAGCATTATGATGTTGTTGTTCTTATGCTTTGTGTATTCCTGATTAAAAAATTGTGATAATACTGAAGACAGTAACAATACTAAATGCAATGTGACATTCGCCCTTTGTGGCCCCTGTTTGTCTCCCCAAACACAGAGCCCACAAAGGCAAACCAAAACCTCTTGACACACTGCCACCAGTTGATCTCCTTATCAGTGTACTTTACTTAGGAAAGATGAAGGTCCATTCAGTACTGACTTATTAATAAAACAGGTTTATTGATTACATATGGTTTCTAGGATAATTCATAAGTATATTCTTTCAGTTTCACCAAAGATCAATATTAATCTTTTATATTAAATATTACAGGTTACTAATCACTCCTCAGACTAATCACTCCTCAGATCCCCAAACTATCTCTCTCTCTCTGATTCCAAACCCTGACTCAGACTCTCTGACTTAGACTCTTTGACTGACTCCTCCTCTCAGGCTCCGCCTTTTTAACATCTCTCTCTGCTCCGCCTCTCAACCACATTAGCATAGAACATGAATAATACATGACATTACCTAACAAAGGGTGAATGCTACATTCCTCCCTCCTTTAATATGTTTGTTTGGGAGGGGAAACATGCAACATTATTGCATAAAAACTCTACTTACCATCTGGCACAATTTTCCAAAAAATACAACATCTCATATATTAAGCACAATATCTTATCACTAATACAGTTCAATTACATACTTTACCTTTCGATTTCTATTTATGACATTTAATATTACAATCCTACAATAATATAACATATTCATGAAAATTTTATATAGATAATTAAATGGTTACTCCATAGTCCATTCAGGTTTTTTTTTTAAAAGTCCTTAAATCATTCTCCACGTCTCAGTCCATCAGTCTTCAATTTTTCATCACTACACAAACAGAAAATTTACGATAACATTACCAACTTTATTTATCTCCCCCATCAGCCATTTGGCTTTCTAGGCAAGGTATCAATATCCACAATCTGACTCCCTTTTACACTATGAATTACAAAGTCCAAGTCTTTCACATTCCCGCTGTCATCTGTTTGGCACAGTACCTCTCCAAGTCCAACACTCGATGTATCCGTGAGGATGGTGAACTCCCTGCTGTAGTCAGGTATGCTGTGGACTGGTCCGGTCATTACCGCCTCCTTCAGCTGGTCACACAACTGCTGGCACTCAGGGGTCCCTCTGATGATCTCTGGCTCCTTCTTCCACATTCTCTTCAATCGACCAGCTGTCATAGGACCCTCTGTTGTTCATTGGTTGCTGTTTCTTAGTGAAGCCTGCTTTCATTCTGGCTTGGGGCTTCACTTTCTCAGCTAGGGAAAGGGTAGGCAGTTCCCTCTCCTCCTCCTGAACATCTCTGGATGCATCCTTCTTTACGATGTCAGGGCTTACGCCTTCCTCCTCACTCACAAATTCACCCAGAGGTACTTTCATTGCAAAGTTTTCCCTGTGTGGGCGACCACTATCATGGGTCATCTCCAAACTCACAGGCAGGTTTCCTTTAAGTGCACTCTCAAACACTTGGCTTATTTTAGATGCACAGAGGTTCTCCTCTGGTTTTATTTCTTCATTCATTGATAAGCTAGGTAGGGGATTGCCTTGCAAGGTTTTAGGTCTATTTCAGCTGCAGAGCTACGAGACTCTCCCCTCCAGTGCTGGTGCAACACATCTATAGATTCCGATCCTGCCAAAAGCAATTTACTCCTCTCTATACATCTCAGTTCCACTACTTTGTCCTCAGGACAGAATGATCTTTCCTGGGCCTCATACAAGCTTTTTTTTTCCTTTTCAGGAGTATTTCCCAAGCTTGGCTCTGCCACTTCTAAGGACTTCTCTTTATACAAAAGATCCTTATCCCGGCAAAGTCTCTCAGGGCACTCAGGAGACAATAAAGTAGGTGGCCACTTCAACGCAACCCACCAAGCTAGTGTCCTCCTTCTGCTCCTGGGCAAAACTTTTTTATTAGGATTCTTTAGTTTCTGAACAGCTATTAAACTGGCCCCCTTGTGAACGTGTAAGTACAAAAGCAGTCTTAACATGATCTATCAAGTTTAAACCCTCTCTATACGTCAGGTCTTTATCAGTTATAGACCTCTCTAGTTGTTCAGGGGTCAGTGGAATGGGATTCTCTCTAGCTTTTGTAATATAATCATTTAAAGTACTATCTTCCTTCTGTTCACCAATACAAGAAGTATCATTAGGGGTTTTCAATATAACCTCATCAGCCATTTCTGCTACCTCAGGGTTTTTCTCTAAACTGGGGCATCCCTAGTTTGATTCAGAGGTTAGGGATTCCAGTCTTCCCTCAGGGATTGTTAACTGCTCTTCCAGGTAACATTTTACTCCAAAAGCACTCTGCACATGCTTAGTGAGATCTAGTCCAATTAAACAAGGTGCTGGAATTTTATCAGAAATTGCCACATCCTAAATTCTGACCCAGTCTCTATAGTTCATCTGTACTTTAGCCATAGGTAAAGTCACTGGAGTAGAACTTATTCCCTTGATTGTAACAGTTCGATTTGGAAGTATTTGTTCTCTAGGAACCACATCAGGATGACACAGGGTTATGTTGGAGCAGGTATCAACCACTCCCACATAAGACTTCTCATTAATAAGAATCCTCTCACCAGGGTTCTGTACAAAAATATCTTCTGTCTTTACAAGAAAACACTGAACGACCTTGGCTAGTGGCAGATCAGAATTTTCTGTTGTGCTAGTTGCCATGGAGACAGAACCATTGTTACAACTTCCCTCACTGGCTTCCACAGTTTTCAAGCAGTATACCTTTTTGGTCTGTCCATCATCTTTTCCATTACTATTCCTGTTTTTCATACAATTTGACTGAATATGCCCAAACTCCCTGCAGTTATAACACTGTTTAAAAATCCTTCTCTCACTCTGAGGAGACGTATTAAACTTTTCCTCAGGCTTCACTCCTCATGGTTCATTTGGGTCTGAGAACTAGGCATGCTAATTTAGGTGAAGTACTACCCTGGCCTTCTTTTCCTGTTGTTTTGCTGAGATATTTTTTATTAAAGGTTTTCTTATTGTTGTCCCAGTTCTGCTTGTTAAAATTTACCTCAGAGAACCTGTGGTTTCAAATCTCCCCAAGGTAATATGCTGTTTCACCTTTTTCTAATAGACTTTTAGGATTCTTGTCCTTAACTAAATAACACAATTCCCCAGATAAAATAAAGTAAAATTGCTTGAACCCAATCACATTTTTCACCTGTTCTAGAGAAGTGACATTTTCATGTTCCATCCATTTGTCCAAACATTGGACTAATTTAGCTCCTAACAGAGAATAAGATTCTTCAGGCTTTTTGGTAAGGGCACGGAATTTTCTTCTAAGGTGTTCTGCATTTATGCCAGATCTTGAATATACCATCTTTCTATATGCTTCAAAATCTCTAGCCTTCTCCAGAGGCATCTAAGAATACAGTTCCACTAAAACTCCACTTATTTGTGATCTTAGCACTATCATCATTTCATCATCCCTAATATCAAAGTCCCAACACGCTCTCTCAAATGAAATGAGGAAAAATTCTGGGCAGTAACCTTTTCTATACTGGGGAAATTTCTTTAGATCGATCTTTGAGAGATATCCCTCACTAGAGCTGTTATTATTGTTATTATTTTGAGCAGCAATTTCCAGTCTTTTCATCTCTATTTGAAATTCCATTTGTCTTTTTTCTTGCTCCAATGAGATTTCTCTTTCTCTTAATTGCATTTGTCTGGCATCAGCCCTCTCCTTTTATCTGATTTCTAGTTTCCTGAGCTCTAGCTCCTTAGCTTTTTCCTCAGCTCTGAGCTGTAGTTCCTGAAGCCTGAATTCCTGTTCCAACTTCCATTTTTCAAAACCTTGGGAGCTTCGATCCCTTTGTCTCTCCAAGGCACCCTCATCAGTCTCCTCCTGTTCCATTGGAGTTAAGGGGTCTCCATTTCCCTCCGTTTCTTGAGGTAAACTCTCTGCCTCATGACTCCCCTTTTGGCTAAGTTTGGGGGGGCATGTTTACTTCTGAGATAATTAGTCTTGAGTGATTGTACTGATTTTAAAAAGGACCTCTCTTTCTGCTTTTAATTCCAATCACTGAAATAATTTTATATCTCAAGCCTCTGCTTTTTCTTCTATCTCCTCAGGTCTGCTCTGACCTCTGGCTTCCACTTTTATCCACAAGCGCACCCTTCTCTCAGAGCCTTGGATTTTAAGCTAGCCAACTGGTCTTCCAAATCATGAGGTAAATAAACAGATTTTTTTCCCCTTCAGAGTCGTCCCTATTTTTAGTCCCCCCAGATCTAGACAAATCATGAGGTAAATAAACAGATTTTTTCCCCTTCAGAGTCATCCCTATTTTTAGTCCCCCCAGATCTAGGATCAGAAGCCCCACCACTAAGGTTTTCCACAAAAGCTCTAGTGGGTCACCCACTTCTTCACCACAAACCTCTGACTAAAAGGTACCCATGACTCAAAAAAAATTCATTTTTAAACTCTGGCATTACTGGATTGTTTCGTATCCCACTGCAGGACACCAATTGTGACGTTCGCCCTTTGTGGCCCCTATTTGTCTCCTCAAACACAGAGCTCACAAAGGCAAACCAAAACCTCTTGACACGCTGCCACCAGCTGATCTCCTTATCAACGTACTTTACTTAGGGAAGATGAAGGTCCATTCAGTACTGACTTACTGTATTAATAAAACAGGTTTATTGATTACAGATGGTTTCTAGGATAATTCATAAGCATATTCTTTCAGTTTCACCAAGCATCAATATTAATCTTCTATATTAAATATCACAGGTTACTAATCACTCCTCAGATCCCCAAAATTTCTCTCTCTCTCTGATTCCAAACCCTGACTCAGACTCTCTGACTTAGACTCTCTGACTGACTCCTCCTCTCAGGTTTTGCCTTTTTAACATCTCTCTCGGCTCCGCCTCTCAACCATATTAGCATAGAACATGAATAATAAATGACTTATTACCTAACAAAGGGTGAATGCTACAGCAACTTATTAAAATTTGCCACCATGTGATATTAACCAACTAATTTCTGTGATGTCTAGGAAACAGCTGGTGCCCATGGCATAGATATAATCATAGAGATGTTGGCCAATGTCAACCTTGCCAATGACTTGCAGCTGTTGTCAAATGGAGGAAGAGTGATGGTAAGCAGGTACTTCATCTTCTTAATGTTAGAAGATATAATTGTGCAATCTAGCATGTATGTATGTATAAGCATTACTTGAGAGCTGTTATTTACATAATAGAACATTGTCTAGTGCTAGCCAATGGGTGTTTGAAGGGGATAACTGCCAGACAGAAGATGTGACAGTTTGCATGAGACTCATTCTGGTTTAGTAGTATGAGGCTTTCCTGTTGAGAAGCAGTGTTTTTTCAGTTATTTTCAGTTACTAATGCTATCTGCTATTAGTATATTATTATTATATTTATGAAAATTATTATAAATCTGTCAAGACCAAACCAAATTTATACCAAGTAAAATGTTCGAGTACTGTTTATTCTTCAGCATGTTATACAGTAAACGTTCTTAAAGTTATACTGTGACCGAGTGAATACTCTTTCCTCTGCTGACACACACATATACTGGGATATACTAGCAAGGGAGAATTTTATCCATGATCTCTGTGGGGCTTTTTATACCCTCATTTGATCTGCTGTGTATAAACTCTCAGAAATTTCAACAGAACAATCTCCTTGTAAAAGTTTACATATTTACAATCTCATTCTTCTTTTTTTCTCTGACAGATTGTGGGTAGTCGAGGTCCCATTGAGATAAATCCTAGAGATACTATGCTGAAAGAATCAAGTATAAGAGGACTTTCTTTGTTTTCTGCATCTAAGGTAAAATCAAAAGCATGCAACATATCCAAATATTTTATTTGCATTTGTCACCAGACATATTCTGTAACATAGCCTTAGGTATTTGGCTCCAAACATATGAGTCTCTAGAATTTCCTTTATCACCACCCCTACCCTTCTGCTGTTTTCTGAGAGCCTTTTGATCAGACCTGGGCAAAGTGCGGCCCGAGGGCCACATACAGCCCCCGAGCAGCTCCTGTCTGGCCCGCGGACAGTTCTGAACATCAAAACCATTTATAGCTTTTTGTCTAAAGTTGATCAGTTGCTTATCTTTAACATACCGCAAAAAACCTCTTTAGTATTTGTGAAAATTAACAAGTTTAAAATAAAAACAACCATAACATCACTGTTTCATTTTAATTTTAAGTAAAGTTGGTTTGGCCCCTGAACACAGTTCAGATTTTTCATGTGCCCCCCCCCTATAGAAATTAATTGCCCACCCCTGCTAGATGAATGGTCAATGAAATGCAGTTCTTTCATAGCTTTAATCTGTCAGGAGCTAGTCTTCCTTCTTGGCATAGTGTATGTTTTCTCACTCCTGCCAAAGTGAGTGTACCTAGCCCATGGATGCCAGCTGTTGCTGTCACCTTCTGTTCTCAACAATACCACCTCATCATAAAATCTTGCAGATTTGCCTTTAGGTTGGTGGGTTGATCCATTCAGAACCCCATGTTCAAAGGTGTATGTGTTCTGTGCTGTCAGGTTGGAACCGACTTACTGGTTCCACTCTCCCTCGAGTTTCCATGGCTGAGCAGGGATTTGAATCCTGTTCTCCAAAGCCCTAGTCCATCAATCACTCCATTCACTACACCACACTGGGAATTTTCAAGGGTACCCAAGAATAAATCAAACACTTGTAGAAAAGAGTAACAAAGTTCATCTAATATAATCTTGGTAAAAAGGATTCAGTAGGTAATCCAAATAAAGCTTCCATGCTTCTTTTGCAAAAATTCCAGGAGACATATCCTTTCCCTGGACTCATTAGATTGCAGAGTGTGGTTCTCTCTCATCTCTTCCAGGAGACATATCCTTTCCCTGGACTCCAATCATTAGATTGCAGAGTGTGGTTCTCCCTCATCTTAGGCAGAACACAAAAGCAGTTTTCTCCAATGCATTGCCTTTTTGTCACCACAGCATATAGGCTGCATGGGAACAGAAAGCGTATTTTGCCAAGGAAGCTACCACCATCCACCAGCATCTGTGGAAAGAGGGCCTTTTTCTCTGGGATTTAGCATAAACTATCGTGTCACTATTATGAGCTGGTATATGAAAGCCACGCTAAGGGAAAGTTCATGGAAGTTGGCATGGCTCAGCTTGTCTGCTTGGATGCATTACTCTCAGTGGGATTTGGATATGCTACCTGCTAGAGGTGTGCTCTTTCAGTTTTTGAGCTCCAGCTCCCAGAATTCTCCATAAATACACATTAACATACACCTTTATTTCACTCACTTGTAGAATGTCCTATGTCAGAGGCTGCATGGCCTCCTCTGTCCTTCTTGTTGTTAATGTAAAAAAAAAAAGGAGTTGTTGCAGCACTTCCTTAGAATTGTAGTTCTTTGGGAGGTGCATCCATAGAGATTAATGGGCAGTGAGATGACAAGCCTCGGGGAGCACTGTGGCAGCTTTACTCTTTTACATTAATGACAAGAAGCAAGGCAAGAGGAGGCCATGCTGCCTCTGAGGTAGGCCCTTCTCCAGGTGAGCAAATGTTTGTGTAGGCACGTATTTTTGGGCTGAAACTCCCAGAATCCATGCCCAGTAACATGAAAGCCACATGTCTGGCCATTTTTCACATTTATTACTAGTTTCCAACAAGATTGCTCTTTTCTCACCATCAGTAGCAGAAGGAAAGTTCTGTGAATACTGTTGGTAGGTGTGTGTGGAAAGTCTTCATGCAATCAGTTTTTATATCTAGCTTTATCTGTCTACATAAACCTTTTAAAAGATAATCAAATAGTGAATAATTTGATTGAACTCTCTCTATATAATACCTAATATATTCAGATACCATAAGAAAGCACACAGCAATTAAATGGATTAAAAGGGGAATATGTGGCCAGTGAAACATCAGATAAGCAAACTTCTCCAGGTTGGTGAATTTCAGGTTTGTGTGAATTCCCCACAGTATAATCCACTATATTTCTATTGTTATCTATCGAATGAAGAGATCTGCTTCAAAATAATGCCTCTAGTCTGTTTCTCGTCTTCCTGCCACCACTCAGTGCCTCTGTTGCACTCATAGAAAGGTTACTCCAGAGGATAAAGATGTTTCTTGTATGGGTGGTATGTGGCATGAAAGGTGGCAGCAATGGGAGGAAACAATGCTTGAGTCCATTTCTAGTGCAATCTGCTGTTCCATATCTGTGCCTTTTGCCAATAGTTAGGAATGGCTTTAATTGGCATTATAAGGCTTCAGTAGAAGGAGTGGAAAATCCCAAGTGCCGAAGCAGATTTCTGGCTGCAGTGCTCTAGACGCATCTTTCTATTTTATTAGTTGTGTAATGTAGAAGAGTAAGTACAGGACCATGGGAAGTAACCTTCTCTGGCACTGGGCCCTTGCTCCATGAAGCGCTGTACTCTCAACACTAATTAGCAACAGCTCTTCAAGGTTTCAGGCAAAATTTTCACCTAGTTTTATGTGGGGCTGTCAGCATCCAACTTGGAACTTTCTTCATGCAAAATACATGCTCAGCCATTGACCGCTATTCCCTCCTTTCATGGCCATTTTCTCAGAGGGGGGAGCAGAATGGTTTTCCTTTCATGCTGGACTTAAAATATTGTCTGTCTTTTTCAGGAGGAGATGCGTGAATGTGCAGCATTCCTTCTGGCAGGTATAGAAGCCGGTTGGTTGAATCCAGTTGTGGGTCCTGAATACCCAATAGAGAAGGTGGCAGAGGCTCATAAGGACATAATCCACAGCCATGGTGCCCTGGGGAAGATGGTGCTGCTCCCACGTTAAATTGTGTTAAGTGCATATGGAATAATCAGATAAATGCTGGTCACATGTCTAGAGCTAATGAAGAAAATACGATTCCAGTGTAACAGGTGATGAGCAGAATTTGAGACAAGATACACTTAACTTTAAAGTGCTTAATGTTTCATAATTTTTGCTTGCACTAAACACTGTGCTATTCAATCCTCTATGAATATGACAGATTCCTATTCTGCATCTCTATAGTGCTGCCGTTTTTCCTGTGAAAAAGCTGAATGTGCATTATACTGACCAATGTGTTCATGCATACTGATGTTGTGCTCCAGAATCCCCTTCCTTCAAAATCAAAACAAATACAAGACACACACACCTTTATTTCTTTTTTGTCTATTTATTGGTGCTTATAATCCACTGAGCCATATGTCCAACAGGAGAGGAGTTTCACATGATGAAACTTTGTTCTGAAATGCATATACAGCCAATTTGTAATTTTTTTTTGCCTTTTAGTCAGAATGTTAAGCAGACCTGAGACAACTATGTGCCTGATAGTGACAAAGAAGGTGTTATAATAATTCATAGCTGTGGCATATGAGGAATAAAAAAGCTCAGTGGCACCAGGCATGTACATTTGACTTGTGGTGGAGCTGGGTTTTTACTATTAGCACTAAAGTACTTAATCATTTTGCTTGTAATGTCCATTAAAAAAAGGAAACCACTACTAATGGAGTATTCTTTATGATTTCCTCATTACATTTATGAACATTGAGTTAAAGGAACCTGAGAAAACAGCTGGCAGTAATACAACACTGCTAGGGTTGTTGTGGCCACCTCTATATACAAGGCTCCAAAGTAACTGTACCCCTTTAAAAGGTCCTCACTACTTTGTGTATCAAGTAGGAGTTGGCAGCACCATTGTCACGGTCATTAAGAAGCTGAATGATCCCCAGGTTGGATGTATCTATGCTGCTGCTCCCAGCACTTGAAATCAGTCAGAAACGTTTGTTCTCCATCTCCTGCCTTACAGATAAGAGCAATGGCAGAGATCAGTAGTTTAACATGTGTTATTAAGAAATGCAAGCTCTCTTATCTTGGACACATATTTGTCATGGGAAATACAATATATTGCAATACAACATTGAAGGGAAGATTGGGGGTAAATGTGGAAGAGGTAGAAAACAGATTACTTGGATAAGTCACATCAGAGACTAGCTGGGCCTTGACAGAGAACAATGAATCCTCATGGTAACTACTGATAGCTCAGTGGTTTAGGAGGTTGGGAGTTCGATTCTCCTTAATGGGCTGGACTCAGTGATCCATAGGGTTCCTTCTCAATAATAAATACAATAATAATCTTAGAAAGCTCTACAGTTCTAAGATTATTATAATATTATTCAGAAACATAGCTCCATTGTGTTTCTTCCAAATAAGCATGCAGGCAGGGATTGCCATTCTTTTTTCTTCTAGATATTTAGAGCTTGCCTCCTCGAACCCTAAGCCAGCAACAGTGAGGCATTCTAGGAACTGGGGTCCAAAAATCTGGAGAACCAAAGGTTGAGAACCAGTGGTGTGGAGGATTCCAGCTTTATTGTATGCATCTCTGGGCTTGGCTAAATACACATTAGAATGGCAACCCAAGATGGAAAATAGTCCAGTTGCGAAGGGATGTGCAGTACAACATCTTTACAATTTATGGAGCAATTCTTACACAAAAGCTCTTTAGAGGTGTTTGGCTCACTGTGGAAAACAGAACAGTAGACTGAATGAGCCTTTATTTGGATTGGCAAGGCACTAACTCTTAAGGCTGATTTAGCGCAGAACCAGAGAGAAGTTTCCTGGCAGACATTCCAGCCAGGAGAGACAAGGCATCTCCAGATGAGGCATGTATTATGAGGTCACTGTGCTCAGTCACCTGCATTTTGAAGACAGTGATGTACGACAGCTTCGTCCTTTTATAAACCACTCCAGCTATCCCTAAGCATCTCTCACATCTTCCCTCACTGCAGAAAATCATTTTTTTACTTCAACATTCAAAGTGTATGTTTGACAGTAGAAAAGTAACAAAGCCCAGAGATTGGAATCATCTTTAAAAAAATATTGCTTTTGGGGGGAGAACGTTTGAAAATTATAGCACCTGCAAGCCACAGTTTTTGTTTATATTTTCCCCTTGCTTTTGGGGGGAGAACGTTTGAAAATTACAGCACCTGCAAGCCACCAGGTGTGAAAATTTTTGTTTATATTTTCCTGACCTTTCTACTTTACATCATTAAAAGGCAATACTAATGCTAAAAACATTAAGTACTGTATAGAAATACAGAAAACGATCAAGCAATATCACATTTTTAAAAAGGTAAACAAATGCAAGACGAGTAAGGCACAAGAGCACACACTGAAGAGGATGGGAATTTCCAGGTAAATGTGCTGTTGAGTCTTGGCTGTTCAAGGCAAGATCCTGTTGCCCTTCTTCACCTTATGTAGACGCTGCCTTACCCCTACCACATTTATTCGCTCCATAACTTAACTGTAACAGGTGAAAACAAAGTAAGTTTTTTTAAAAGACGAAAACATGGTGACACTTCAAAGACTTTTATATATATTTTTTAAATATGAGCTTTCGTGGATAAGTCCATATTAGACTTGTCCACGAAAGATATTTAAAAAATAGAAGTTAATTTTAAAGGTGCCACCACATTTGTCTTTTTTAAAAGTTTTTGTTTTCACCTATGACGCTTGCACAGATTAACACGGCAACCCATCTATAACGTAGTTACTGGATGGAAACACCAAAATAGAGTTACTAGGATCCGGTGACACAAAGAGCGTTGCAATTCCACGCCCCCTTACTTAGACATAGGCCCCGTTTACACCCGGGAGGCAAAAAGAGATGCGTATTATAACCAAAAAATGCAGAATCGCCCGAGACCTATCTCCACGGCTACGGCTGCTCTCCCCCCGCCCCCCGGCACGCAAAAGAACACGGGAAAGCCTCATCAGGACAAAACAGACTCCTCACCCAACCAGAAAGCCGCTTAAAAGGTGTCCTCTATCGCACATGCTCGCCCTGCTCGAAGCTTTGTGACGCAAAAGCCGGGACGTTTCTTCCCGCGCTTGCGCGGTTAAAGTTTCGGGAATCCCAAGGGGAGGGATTCGCCTGTTAAAAGAAACCGGAAGTGTTCTCCAAATTTTATAGGTAGACGTTGAATGAATTCGGCGGTACGCGTGTTGTATGTGGTACAGCGTTATTGACGGTGACGGTTTGCCCGTATAGTACCTAGTTCTTTGTACGCAGGCGGTGAGCACTGTTGCAGAAGGGGCTTCGGCGTTGGACGAAAGGAAAGGTGTGGTTTTTTTAAATCTCAACTATTAACATTTTATGTGTAATATTAAATACTTGATTAAATTATTTAAATTAAAAACATGATTCCTTGCCTGGTTTTTTCTAATCTGTGAAATATAGTGGTTATTAGTGGCACTTTTGTTTGGGTAAGAGTTACTCTTTCTGATAAGATTCATGCATATTTAGGTGGACAAACATTCAACAGAAGATTCTGTCTCATATTATGTTCCGGTACGACTGGTAAAACGTCGTTTGTATGCTTGGGGGGGAGGGGAACTACACATTTCTCACATCGCCTTCTTTTGAAATTACAAGTTTCTATTCTGCTGGGGAATAGTGTAACACAAAAAACCGAAATCCTCCATTGGGAAGTTGGGGTGAAAATTTAGTTAACTCACTAGCCAGAGCCAGTTGGATCCAAATTAATAATATTGTCTAGTGGGCAGAAGCAGGTACCACCTGCTCTTATATTTTGTATGTTATATACAGTATATGCACCAGCCTGGCACAAATATCTGCCATGAACTTTTGGGACTCTTTAATTTCTCAGCACTGTGGACAAGACATGGGTATGTGCCTGATCCATGAAAGTTAGTAGATTTAGATTTTTTAGTGGTTTAATAAAAGTGTCACGTGCTCTGCATTGGTTGGTGTAAGTGTTCAGTGTTACTGTGTGTTCTATGGTTTGTGAGGTTTTTGATTTGTTTTACAAAATGAATATTTGGCAGTGTTAGTTTGAAATCTTTCAGTTCAGGTTATAGCAAAGTGTTACTTCAGTAAACATGCAAGATTTCACACTAACACTGTGCGGCTTGAATTAAAATTCTGTAAAATGTGATTTTTCTAAGCTGACTGCATCTTAAAGGATATCTAATGACATTAAAATATTTGGAAACTATGGGTTGCTGTTTTTTAGTATTCCATGGTATTTACATATTAAAAATATTGTTAAAATTAGAGTTAAAAGGATAATTTAAAAACCATAAGAAATTGATATACAAAATCTAAACTATAAAAATTGATATACAAAATATATAAATGCTGAAAGACTATTTTGGTTTGTACAGAAAAGAGTAAGGTTGTGACTTCAGTATCTCAGGATGGTCACACAGATTCCTGAGGAGAATTGAAATATGAGCTAAATGTATACGAAAAAAAGATCTGGTCTTTTTCACATTATTTCAAAATGACACATTTTAGTCCTTATGTAGCTTGTCAATTTAAAAAAAAGGCAAACTTTTTTTATTCTTTGGGTGTCAGAATTTAAAATTGTTCCTGGCAAGGCTCAACTGATGCTGAAAGATTCAAATTTTTAAATCCTGGATTGCTTTTCACCTGGAGAGATATTGATGAAGATAGATTGGGGGGGAGGGGAAGAGAAAATAAAATTGGTTGATGAGGGTCTGGGTTGGTTCATTTATTCATATGACAACAATCATCAAGTGCTAGATATTCATGAATGTGCAAGCCTCTAGTTTCATTCGATTCCCAAAACATTCTAGGAATGTAGTTGAATCCACCTGTAATCTTGAGCATCATTTTAGGGGTACTATTGTCAGTTTCTGCTCACAAGCATTTTCTTATGGCTGCAGTCAGGAGCATTTGAAAAACCTGTGTTAATAAAATGTAGCTTACTATTGCTGTAAATTGGGACTGAACTAGAAGTGGTGTTGTGGAAGCTATGCTTAAGATATTTTACAGACTGTTAGTATTAATTTGACAGCCCCTTATGGTAGTTTATAAGATTGTCTACCTGGTGTGATAGCATTGACCCTTTCCTCTCCCATCATTAATTTGGGGTGGAAGCTATACATACTGAGTTTGCCCCCTACTATGGGTAAGTGAAGCTAGCTTTTAACTCCGTATTCAACTCTGTCATAGGGGTTTTTGTCACCTTAAATGCTAGTATAATTTGAACAGTAAGCTTATTAGTACAGTGGTTAAAATCCTGTTCTCTACGTTATGCTGCATAAGGTTGATGACACCATCAACTACAGGCCTTTCTGGAAGTAAAACATTTCCAATTCCCTCTCCATCATAGGTTTTGAGTAGAGATGGGGGTATTTGTATATGAATATCCCCACACAGGTGGAAATAAAGATGGTGTCTTATGCTGCATAAGGTTGATGACACCATCAACTACAGGCCTTTCTGGAAGTAAAACATTTCCAATTCCCTCTCCATCATAGGTTTTGAGTAGAGATGGGGGTATTTGTATATGAATATCCCCACACAGGTGGAAATAAACATGGTGTCCACTCATGATTTCGCTGCTGCCGCTGGCTCCGCACAGGCTTCCTATTGCGCTGTTCTCCACAATGGATTAGCCACTCTTCGACCCAGCAGAGAGGCTTGTCATCCCGCCTCCTGCCAGGACTGGGTAATTGATTGCGGACAATGGCGCGATAAGAGCTGGCGGCAGCGGCGAAATCGTGTGTGGACAGTTCTTTATAACCCTCGTTATTTCCACCTGTGGTGGGATATTCGTATACAAATACACCTGTCTCTAGTCCTGAGGTTACCATGGCATCTCTTTCATCATGTAGGAGCCATGAGATGAAGAAGGGGAGAGTGATTAATTTCCAAAAATTGCCATCAGTGATTTTACTGGCAGCAATTTTCAGAAATTAAATATTTCTTCCACGACCCTCAATGGCTTCATCATGGATGAAAAAGATCCCAAGGGAGCGTGTGAACCTTTGTGCAGTATCCATGGGGGGTGGGGAGGGATCAGAAATGTCTAATTTCCAAAAGCTGCCATGGCTGATGATGTTATTAGCCTTAAACATCGTAAGTCACACTGCTGGATTCTACAGTGAGTGGTATATAACAATTATGTTTTGGGATGCTTCTGCTTCTCTTGGAATGCTTTCATCATCATCATCATCATCATCATCATCATCATCATCATGATTTATTTATTGTCATTGTAAGTATATACACAGTATACCCATACAATGAAATTCACAGACACCCAGAGACCAGACACATGCACACACATAAAATTCCCCAAACACTCCCCACCCACTAAAGAAATCCCCCAACACTCCCCACCCACTAAAAGTCCCCACTAAAAATACAATAAGAAGAAAATCAAACAAATTATTCTGGCTCACAGTCAACATTTACTGATTGTCATCTATGAGCTTGCAAGTTTGCTAGTTTTACAAACTCTTACTGCAACAAGACCCTTTAAAAATGGGGATGGGTAAGTTTTTTTTAGTTTTTTTTTTTTTTGAAAGGACAAGTTCACCCTCAAGTAGAATTTTTTTTCAAAATATTAAAGAGGATATTTCTGTGCTGATAATATTTGTTTTGGTGTGTTTTTTACATATTTGATCCCATTGGTGGTGGTTGTTCTCCACCTTTGTAGGCTCAAAATTTTATAATACAAAACCCCAAAGGTGATATGTTGTGGAACAGAATAAAATGGGTGATGAATATCTAATTTAAATTTCAGCAGAAGAGCAAGTCATTTGATCCTTTCTTTCTGAAGCAGAAACAGAAGCCAAGATTAAGATACTGTCTTTTATCTGTGATTTTCTAGGTTGCCACGGCAACAGGGAGAAATGTGATGAGAGCTGTCAAAGAGCTTCAGTTTGGTGGACCTGAAGTACTAAAGCTGCAGACTGATGCTGCATTGCCAGTTCCAAGGACGAATCAAGTAAAAATGAATGCCTTAACCTGCAATAGAACTATGCTAAAAAAAAGTTAGTGTCACTACTATTTAACACTAATTAGAAACTTCTCTTTGCCAGTAAATACGCCGATAAAGATGATGCCAAATTAAACTGTCTAGTCTTTAAGACCTTATAGTGGTTTAGGAGTCTGGGTGGTTTTAATTGTTTTTTAGCTATAATAAATTAACTCCACAGTTTTCCATTGGTACCAAAAATTTCTAATTCAAAACGACACAATAAAAGGGCTTTGCTAAGATTGTTTTGGGAAATTGCTGTACAGTATTTTCATATGATCCTGTTACAAACGTTAAAACAGTTGTTGCCAATGACATCTTTCCTCTTAATTTTCTAGACTGGAATAGCAACATGCTTATGCTTTGAACATCTCGAGTACATTGTGAACTGAGAACAGGACTCACTTAGTTTTGAGTAATGGACCCCATGATGTATTTAATCATGGAAGGAAGAATTTGTGGCTCAGTTTAAAGTAATTTGGAGCACAATCCTCTCCGTATGGATTCAGAGGTTTGTCCCAGTTTATTCAGTGAGGCTATTCCCATGAAAATTTAGACTGCAGTTGTAATCTGTGTTCAGTGCAGTTTTCGTCAGAAGTGCTCTTGCAGAGTTCAGTGGGTTCTTTGGTTTTACCAGTAACTTTACTTATTCATATTTTAAACTCATTTAATATTTTTAAAGTGTGAAAAAATAGCAGATTAAAAAAATGATTAAAAGTAAAGCCCAAGCACATGTTTTATTTGATCCTGTTAATATCAAGCTTTTACTCATGAGTAAGAACCTACGCATTTTAACAAATTATTTTTATCCATTGATCTTTAAAGACTTACTGGGACACTTATTTAGAGTTTAATACACTTTGCACATAAGAGCTTCCAAAGTTTTCAACTTTTACTGGATATCTGTTCAGATAGATATCTGAATGCGATATCTCCCATCACAAAAAGGTGAAAGACAGTTTTTTCTCCTAAGGGGACAAGATGCGCAAGGGAATAGAAGTAAAAGGAAAAGGTAGAGTAAACTCACTTCGACAATGGCCGAATAAAATGGTGGGTTATACACAGGCCTTTATATCCAGTTAAGTCTTCCTTTGCTGGTGGTCTTTCTTGCTGCCATTGACCCTGAAACTCTGGCTGGTGAGGAAGGGCACAGTGGGTTTCACCTCACTTACACAGTCAGAGAGCAACCAGCAGTTTGATCACTTCTTCCTTGCACGGAGCTTAGAGGCATAAAGATAGAACTTCACTTGGATTGTTCTTTCCAAGAGTTGGCTCTGTGTTGCTCAGAATCCTATTAATTTGCTATTGCACAGCATGTAACTTGGTGTGCAACATTAAATGCCTGCGGCAATTGAAAATGACACGGATGGGTTAAGCCAGTATAACTTCAGTTGAGTTTCAGGTACGGTGTCATAATATTTTGACAACTGTAAGGCTACCCACTTACTCAGACTCTCTGCTTCTACTTCTGACCTCATAAGATTACCTGGGGGAGTATCCAGTAGTGGACGTTTTATGAAGGTCACTGAGATGTTGAATACCCACACACCTTGCTTCTGTGAAGGTCTGCTGGGCCCACTCTTCTTTCATTCTTCAAGCAGTTGAACAAATTCATCATGTGTTCGGTACTTGAGTTCATTTGCTGCTTGCTTTTGTTGGTTTATTCAGTGACTGTTTTGCATATTATATTTTATTCTTCTGTGGTTTAATGTTGCTTATAAGCAGACTTGATAGAAGGACGTAGGTGATGATGATGATGAAATCTACTGTGCACGTAAGGAGCTGGGATGCAGTCCAAGAAAAGCCAAATAAAACATGTTGGTCTTTAAGGTGACACAAGATGCTCTATGGTTTTTAGAACTTCCCAAACATCCAGAAAATTATAGTACTAAACAACTAATGTCTTTATCATAAAAGGAAATAGCTGGTGCCCACGTCATGGATTTGATCAGAGAGATGTTAGCAAAAGTCTCAGCCTTTCAGTGACTTGCAAGTATTTTTTTACTTAGAACTTTCATATTTGGCCCATAGCTTATGATCTCAGAGCAGAATACAACAATAAACAATACAAAAGGAATGTAGTTTTAGACATTAAAAATGTTTTTAAAAATCATGCATTAAAAAGTCTTCACAGCCTTAATCACCGAAAGCCTCAGTGAATAATAATGTTTTAACTTGGTGCAAAGATAGGGTTAGTGTCTGTGCCAAGTCCGACTTTTAAAAGGAGAGCATTCCATAACTCTTCCATAACATTCTGTAAGTACTGCTGTCAAGCAAGGGAAGAGTGGTACTTGGGTATGTGCTTCACCTAAGTACTGCTGTCAAGCAAGGGAAGAGTGATACTTGTGTATGTGCTTCACCTTTTTAATGAGAATCTTCTTGTGAAATGTTAGATGTTCAGAATTTCATTCTTTCCATGTCTTTTGTGACAGTGTGAATAAATAGAGCTCCAACTGGGGAATCCTAAGAATGCTGCGCTGAAATGATCAAGTATCAGAGGTATATCTTTATTTTTTGCATCTTAATGTTTAAAAATAGCACACAAAATGATACAGTATATCACAGAAGTGAGTACACCCCCTCACTTTTCATAAATATTTTAGTGTATCTTTTCATGTGACAACACTGAAGAAATGACACTTGGCTACAATGTAAAGCAGTGAGTGTACAGCTTGTAGAACAGTGTAAATGTGCTGTCCTCTCAAAATAACACAACACACAGCCATTAATGTCTAAACCGCTAGCAACAAAAGTGAGTACACCCCTAAGTGACAATGTCCAAATTGGGCCCAAAGTGCCAATATTTTGTGTGGCCAGTATTACTTTCCAGCACTGCCTTAACCCTCTTGGGCATAGAGTTCACCAGAGCTTCTCAGGCTGCCACTGGAGTCCTCTTCCACTCCTCCATGATGACATCATCGAGATGGTGGATGTTAGAGACCTTGTGCACCTCCACCTGCCATTTCAGGATGCCCCATAAAGGGTTTGGAGATATGCTTGGCCAGTCCATCATCTTTACCCTCAGCTTCTTTAGCAAGGCAGCAGTCGTTTTGGAGGTGTGTTTGGGGTTGTTATCATGTTGGAATACTGCCCTGCAGCCCAGTCTCCGAAGGGAGGGGATCATGCTCTGCTTCAGTATGTCACAGTACATGTTGGCATTCGTAGTTCCCTCAATGAACTATAGCTCCCCAGTGCCGGCAGCACTCATGCAGCCCCAGACCATGACACTCCCACCACCATGCATGGCTGTAGGCATGACACACTTGTCTTTGTACTCCTCACCTGGTTGCCACCACACACGCTTGACACTATCTGAACCAAAGAGGTTTATCTTTGTCTCATCAGACCACAGGGCATGGTTCCAGCAATCCATGTCCTTAGTCTGCTTGTCTGAAGCAAACCGTATGCAGGCTTTCTTGTGCACAATTTTTAGAAGAGGCTTCCTTCTGGAACAATAGCCCTGGATGCTGCTCTAGAAATCAAAGTCAACTATTTTAGCAAGCACCAACAATAAATTATATCAATTTAAATTCATTTTAAAAATTCAAAATATTTAAAGACAACAATTATTTATGGGTCTAACAAGGAGAAAAGAAGAATGAACATCTCTTGTCAGAAAGATAATCCCTTTGTACAACCTGCATAGGTACAGGTACACAGGTACAGCTAAAACTGCCAATAAACACTTCTAGGTTGAAACAAAAATAAACTACAGTGGTACCTCGGTTTATAAACACCTCGGTTAACCTACTTTTCGGTTTACAAAGCAAAATCCGTGGAAAATAATGCCTCGGTTTACTTTTTTTTCTGGCTTTTTTCGGAGTACGAAGAAAGTTTCCCCAGGATGTGTTTTGCCTGGAGGTTTGTAGAGCCACCCCCGTTCCTATGGCAATCCGCGTTTTGGTTTACGAATTTTTCACTTTATGTAACGTCCTGCAGAACGCATTAATTTCGTAATCTGAGGTACTACCATAGTAAATGAACAATCTTTCACTTAATGTGCCTCTGTTATTTAGAATATTAAAAAGGGAGATGGTTGTAAAATGATTCAAGCAATTTCTAGAAAAAGTTCCTATTCCTGATATGAAAATATCTACAAAGCAGGGAAAGCTGCTAATTTTCTCAGATATGAAAATTACAACTCTTTTTAGTTCAATTAAAAAACAGCAGAAGTTGTATCTGGCTGCAAATCCTATGTATGCTCATGAATAAGCATGATTGAAAACAGTAAGACTTTCAAGAAAACATACACAGGTGGCTCAGGCTGCACATAACACTTTGGACCAAACAGTTCCTTGTGTAGAAATAAGGGAGAACTGCTTTTTGAGGCAATTCGATGTGAAGGTAAAAATACTTTTCTCCATTTCATCTCTTTCTTAACCTTTTTATCCCACAACAAGAGGTTTTAGCATTGTTACTTGAACAATATGAAAAGAAATCAATATTCTTCAGTTTTAAAATCCATATAAGTGTGAAATCATGGACTCAGACAAACATTGCGGTATGATAACACTTGTGAATTAATTATAATAATAATAATAATAATAATACCTTTGTTGCTGTTTCACCTATAAGAAGGTAATTAAGCTTAGTACTGTATGCAAAGCATGTCAGTGACTTGCCTCTCCCTTGTCATCTCATAGAATCACAGAAAAGTGAAGTGGGAAGGGGGGCCTACAAAGCCATCAAGTCCAACCCCCTGCTCAGTGGAGGAATACATCAAAGCATATCTTCCAGATTATTATCTAAGTTTTTCTTGAATGCCTCCAGTGTTAGATCACTCACCAACTCTTGAAGTAACTGGTTCCACTGTCGTACTACTCAGTGGGAAAAGGTCAGAAATTCCCAGTGCAGAAGCAGATTTCTGGCTGCACTGCTTTGTAGCCACCTTTGCATTTTCTCAGCTGTGTAACAGAAAGGTTAGGGACATAGGAAGCTGCCATTTATTTTGTCAAACCAGTAGTCCACCTAGTCCTGTACTGTAGGAACGGGTTGCCAACAGCTCCCCCAGGGCTCCTCCTAGCCCTATCTGGAACTGTTAGGAATTTGATGTGGGAAATATTTTATTGTAAAGCATTTGCTCAGCCATTGAACTCTCACCCCCTTCCTTGGTGGTTCTGTCCTTGAAAAGAACACAATGTTCTCATGTTAGATGTAAAATGTTGGCTTCTTTTTTTTGGAGGAGATGCATAAACAAGCAGATATAGAAAAGCTAGTTGGCTGAAACCAGTTGTGGAGCCTCAATATCTGGTGAAGGCGGCAGCAGAGACTCATGGTGACATAATCTACAGCCAAGGTTTTTTGAGGATGAAATGCTGTTATGCAACACATTTGAACTGCTATACAAAATTTGGTTTGTGTATAAGACACAGTGAATGTGATAGGTAATGATTTGGACAGGCTAGGTTAAAGAAGTTTGGAACAATCTAATGCTTTATCTTTTGGATTTGCCTAAAAGATTTTGTTCTTCATTTTTCTATGGATCTTCCTAAAGATGACTTCTACACCTGCCATTCTGTGTCCTGCCCACCCCCATGGAAACGCTGGATGTGGATTACTCTGACTGATTTTGTTTGTATTTGTTGATCATAGAATTGTGTTCTGTATCCCTCTTACTTCAAAATAATAAAAACATACAAGACAGCTATTTGATTTTGTTCACTTTTGTAATGGAGTTGATAAATAACAGGAATAATCTGTAAACCCATTACTTCTGTAGCAAAAATGGATAATCATTTGGTAGAACTCAGAGTTGTATAGTTGTTGATCTTCTGTGCAGATGTTAGATGTGGTATGGTAATTTCATTTGTAAAGTTAATTGACTGGTCAAATGCCCATAAGTTCTTCACCCTGATAATATCTTCTTCTCCAACCAGGATTTTAAAGTGATGTTTCAAGTGATGTTTATCACATTTTTAGTCTAGTTACAGATCAAGGTTAATAAGTGTACCATTTTTATTATGAACATTTGCATTTATAGAAGCATTTGAAATGTTGGTAAAAGAGCAAGAAGAAAAATGTGTTGAAATCTTTTCATTCATTTGTGCCACTTGTGAAGAAGTCTTATCCCCTCAGAGGTTTCTGGCCTGTGCTTCTCAGATGTCCCAGCAAAAATGGCCAATTGTAAAACATCATGAAATCTCTATGATGTCTAGATAGCCAAATGTTTCTCACTTCATTGAATATTTCTATGAGAAAGCCCATTGGAACAGTGGGAACACTGCCACAGTCTTGTAGATGGATATGCCAAGATGCAAGGCCTGCCTAGGCTTATTGCTTGGTTTTTGCTTGGAGAACAAATACTTGGAATGGAAACCTCTTAATAATCCTCAGTCAGTTGGTGTCCCTCTTCTGAAGAAGGCATCCAGTGGCAAAATAAGGGGTGGGCCAATTTCCTTCTGAGTATTTTTCAAGTGGTTCTGAGGCAAAATGTTCTCCAGTCTTGAATATTTCTGGTGTCTGACTTCCAACCCTCATTTTGATGATGGATGTTTTCTATCAGTAGAAAAATATGAGTCAGATATCCAAAATCTTGAAAAAAATATTTCCTTGAAGAATAACCTCACAGCTTTAACTCAACTGATATTTTAAATATATTTCCCTTAATCTTAAACTTGCATTTTTCCTTATTGCCTGCCTTGAATTGACCAGTCTTAATGAAACTGAAATAGCTAAGGTAAAGTACAAGGTGAAAGGCTAGTCAGTCCTCTGATCAAGCATATGTGCCATTGTCAGAGGTAAAGCATTCTTCAGTAATATACCCAGTTACAGTGGAATTATTAGAAAACATGCAATGTGCTTTATTACATTTGGGGATCAAAGGTTATGTGAAGGTGGCTCTGGATGTCACTTTGGTTCACACTGGGACATAGCTAATTAGCAAAAAGTCTTGTTCATTAATGGAACTGAACTATTTATTAAATGTCACCTGAAGTATGTATACTGTTGAATCATTTGTACAATGCAGAGGAAACTGTCTTGAGAAAAAGAAATCCATATCATGATGCAGTAGTTAAACTGCAATACTGCTGTGCAAACAGCTCACAACCTGAGTTTGATCCCAGGCGAAGGTATGTGGCTCATGGTTGAGTCAGCCTTCTGTCCTTCCAAGGTCAGTAACTTGAGTACCCAGCAAAGGGGGGAGGGGGACAATGTGTAATCTGTATGATTAAATTGTAAACTATCCAGAGACAGCTTTAAATTGTAAACTATCCAGAGACAGCTTTAAGCGCTATGGGGTGGTATATAAGCAGCATGCTTTGCTTTGCTTTTCCTTTATTAGGTGAACCAAAAAAAAAAGGTCAAATTATGGGCAAAGTTTTGAAGCTGTCCAGATCACTTCATGAGGCAAGATGTTATGAAAAGATGGCAAGACAGGGCAAGCTGACTTGGCATTCAAGGCATATAGATGCAACAACTTCAAGTCAGCTTCTCTGTCTCCTTTATTCTTCTACCTTCTTACATCCTTCACACCATCTCTGGACTGTCTCTTCCCAATA